TTCCAAAACATCATTACAACACAAAAGACCTTAATCATTTCTGATACAATAATTAGCTCCATAATTACGCGATAATGTTTTTTAAGGATGTATGTCAAAATTGAATATTATGAAAAAAAATAAGTAGTATTGAGTTTCATTTTTCAGTATTTATTTTGAAATGGTCTCTGCTGACCTTAACTCTCAAAATAAAATTGAGCAAACACAGAATATAAATGAATATATTCTGCTCACCAATAAATCTGACAATAGCCAGGAAGTTGGAAGTGTATTAAGTTCTTCCTTTTTTGCCTAACTGCGTAATTCGCGGTTCTCGTTTCGAGAACATCATTACAACACAAAAGACCTTAATTAAATTTTGATACAATAATTAGAGGCATAATTACGCGATAATCTACGTTAATATTACATTTAAAGGTGTATGTTGAAATCAAAGTAAAAAATAAGTAAAATGGTTTTATTTTTAGTATTTATTTTTGGTTGACTACTGACTTTAAACTCCCAAAACAAAAAGTTGAACAAACAAAAGAGTACTGCTCATTAATATTAACATGACTGGCTAGTATAGATACATCAATGACAGTCAAATGTTAAAACAATTGTACCGAACTTAATATTAAAGGTGTCAGTCGATTATAAAAAAGGCGATATATATTTGAGGTGGCTCCAATATAGTGACCTTTTACACGTGCCTATTCATGTCTGAAGGTGATTCATAATTTCCATGTACTTAGTTATCATGTGTACGCACGTAATATTGGCGCGGCGGTGTGGCTCAATGGGCTAAGCGTTAGGAATACGCTCGCCACCGCACCTCTAATCTGCATGAGTTCGCAGGTTCGAATCTCATGCGGGGATGATTATGTGCGAGAGGATTGCTGGACTCCTCGCCGTCGTTGGGTGGTTCACGTAACCGCTGGTCGGTTACGGCTTCCTCCACCACCAAGTCCATGCTTCCGAAAACAAAACAATATACCTAATCCCATACCCGACTTTGAATGATAACCGGACGAGAGGCCGTGGTTCGCCATATGATTAAGCCGTCTTATCGGCTTTCCTCTCCCCCGGGATAAATATGTAAATCCTATCCTATCCTACGGTGGTACAAATATACAAGAGTGCATTTAATATTCGTTTTTCTATCTGGAATGTGTTCGGTTTTAAATGTGATTAAAGTTTGTAATGGCAGTATAGATGTTCATAAACACCACCTTACAGTAACCATCCCCTATTACTAGGGCTGGGCATTTCGAATCGAATATTCGAATCGAATTGAATAGTAAATTATTCGAATCGGTTCAGAGCTAAATTTCGAATAGCCGCCATCTTGTTTTCATCTTTCTGCTAATTGTCGAGGTGAATTCCCCAATTTTTTTTCATTGGAGTCATATCTTTTCAACGAAATTCTAACATATGACTATTTTCTGTAGTGAGTTATTGATAAAACGTGTTTGTTATTCTGTGTGAACGCTCAGTAATCTATCTGGGTGATTTATTCTATGTCTTCGGTAATTCATTTGTTGAGAGGACCAATTACTATAATAAAGTCGCTTACAATTATATATTTTCAAGTATTCGAGATTCGATTCGATTCGAAAAATATTATTCGATTCGATTCTGAAATCACAAGGTATTCGAAAATGCCCAGCCCTACCTATTACTCGAAGAAATTTTAAAGGAAATGAAAGTGACACCCTTCTCGCAACCATCTTCAAGTACCGAGATTTTGACTCCCATCTGACAATTATTAGCATTCCCATAGTGTGTGTACCGGATTAGGGTTAGACCATAATTTTATTCCGATTTTAGTTCCATTACGAAGACATTGACTGTCTGTGTTAGCCAAGTGAATATACCCCCTGTCCATAGGTTTCAGCTCCTTTACACAACTTGATGTGAAATATGCGAACAAAATTAGTTACATCTATATTGGTACACACAATTCTGGAGCGCCCCATTATTTGCCAAATGGCAATCTTCGCGATCCCACGAATAACAATCAAGCACGGTGATCGGTGTGTCCATTTCTTGTCCATAACATCCTAAACACACAAAATTATTGGATGAATTCTGTTTGCAACACCCATTGAAATGCGAATCATATTGTTTTTGAAATGTTTTACAGGAGAATTTAATTTTTTACATAGTAGTTACTTTACATTTCAAAAGTGCTAATAGAAATTGTATGATATTATGGGGTTCAAATATCTGGACCTACTTAATATAGTTTTGCCCCAGTATCCTTGTAGCCAGTACATACCTGCTGGCATGGGTAAGCTACGTTCCGCTGGCCAAATCCGCCGCGTTGAGTAATTCGATCTGGCCCGCCTGATGCTTGCAACCAAACCAAACTAAAACCATGTTTTAGCTGAAAAAATCCATGAATTTGTTGCGATTGCGATTAAATTTAGTTTCGTCACGAGATTGTTTTTCACTTTTGCTTTCGTAACCCTGTAAATATTGTTCATAAAATGCGACTTTTTACGTCAAGGTGCGCAAACTTTTGGCCTCTGGTTCAAAAGCCTTGCCCACCCCTGGGACATACTATCATACCAGCAGTGTAGTTTTGAACAGAACACCGCAATCAACCATAATAATTGTAAAATATACAAATTTAATTCTCTAAATCAGGGATGTGCAAACTGGGGTCCACAAGGAAAAATTGTGCGAAATGCCAATTTTGAATGGTGTGCCCCTAAAAAGAGTTTTTAGTTTAGTTAATCTGTGCGAGCAATTCCAATCTCTTTGCGTCGCAAAGCCTATACCAGTGCCTGAGTGCCATTGTTATATTACATAACACCACAGTCCGGCCCACTTGCGACTATAATTTTTATGTATATAAATTTCCGTTGTAAATATCGATGAAAACAACGTCATATTGACGGCGATTGTTACATTGTGTATATAAACGTTAGCCAAACTGGTCTTAGTTGGGTTTCTATTCATTCAATCTCATTTATAGTTTTTTGTATTGAGCTTTGAGCCACCGTCCTATTAAGCAAGTCTATTATCTGTAACTGCCCCACTCAGAAAAGTATTTGTCCACACCCTATAGGTTAGAGTCAAATTCATGCCATAAATCGCTCAGCCGTATGTATAATATCCACTAGAGGCGGAAATGCAGTGGCTCTTGGAATACGTAAGTTTATTCAATCAAACAAAAGATTCCGCGGATTTCAATTTACAAGCTAGTACTGCTGACCTAACTTGGCCGCGCGTACAAAACCACAATCCCCAATTAAAGAATAATTTATCTGATTAACCGAATAAGCTTACGCAGTTCGTAATAAAACATAATTAGGTGATAATTAACTATTATGTCGCAAATGACTTTTAACCGCAAACCACGGTAAAGCGATCATCGCGTCATACAAACCGACGTTCATGGAAAAGTAATTTCAATTTTGAAATAATCAAACTGTGAAAAAATGAAATTTTTGTTAGTGTTTGATAATATTATTAAAAACCTATAGCTTTGATATACTGACGTAATTATCAAAAAAGTTTATGGAAAAGTAATTTCAATTTTGAAATGATGAAACTGGAAAAAAAATTCCAATTATATCAATATTAAATATTATATTAAAAAAATTGACGTTCCAGAATTAGGTGTACCAATATGGAGGTTACTACTTTTATTCACCTATTTTACATCAAGTTGTGTAAAAGGCCTGAAACCTATGGGCAGGGGTTATATTCACTTGGTTAACACAGACAGTCCCCGAACTCGTAATAGAACTAAAATAAGGAAAATCGAAATATAATTAAGGTCTTAGCCTAACCTGGTACACATACTACGGGAGTACCAAAAAATGTAGCTTGGATATACTGACGAAATTAGTCAAATAAAATTGAAATATAACCATAATAAAATCAAATTTGTGAATATTCTAAGATTATACCAATACTGTGAAATGGCCAGCGAAACATCCAATGATATTAATCGCCACAAACCCGAACCATCTGGAAAAGTACTTACTAATAAATTGGATTTTCGTCTTTTTTCCTAATTACATTTTTATAGGTCCGTATTTGCGCCATGTACGCCGGTAATTTCAATTCTGCAATGCAAACTGTGAATAAGTTTGGATTATGTTGATATTATTAAAAACGAGTAGCTTCGACAAAATTTTTTTTTCGAAAACTTGAATTTAACTATCAAAATAACATTTGTGAATTTTAAAGATCACCACGCAAATGCGATATGGAAAGAGATCCGTTCAGTAATGGGTAACAATCTGAAATTTTGGACAAAACATGGCCGCAAAAAAACTATCGGTGAATATGTACCTAAATTAAATTTAAAATATGATAAGTTTTTAAAAATGTAGCTTTAATATTTACTAATGACGTAATCTTTCTTCAAGAACCTAAATAAAATAATCAGAATTGATTTCGCGATTTCGAACACGAAATTTACATGGATGCTGTGTTAAATTGTCGCTTTTTCTGTTGCGAGTTTAATAGTTTAATATCGGAAGGCAAACTTAATAGGCATTCGAATGTATTTAAACACTGTATATATAATAATATAAAACAGTGGTTCCCCCATTGTTATGTCTCGTGGCCTCTTCCTGAGGCTTTTAGCACTCATGCCCCAAATACCAAATTTGCCGATGACCAGTAGACCAAATAGTTATTTCGCGGTTATCCTGTTCATTCCGGTAAAAGACATGATTATATAAAAAAATATTTCGTGATTTATTTTGCTTTCATACTATTTTTTTTCCTGAACGAAATAACAATTAAACAAAAAATAATTTAATTGATTGATTGAATTACACATGAATGTTGAGTCAATTTACTATTTTATTTCAACAGCATCATAATTTCCAGAAAGCATTTTTTCAAGCAATTATTAATAATGAGTATATAATTCAATGACGCGCTTGGAATCATAAATTAGGATATCCCGCGTCTTATGGCTACGATTTTCTGATTAAAAAATTAAAAAGTTGTTAAATACACTAAATGACATCCCGCGAAATACGTAAAAAGTTCTCAAAGACGGGTATATATATTGGACAATTTTTTGATATCTGTACACACTTATACTCAGTTATTTAACTCTCTACAAGTCACAAAAAACAACAAAAAAAAAGAAGAATGAAGTTATTCGTTATTGCCCTTCTCGCCGGGCTTTCAGCAGCTCATATCATGGGTGAGTCAAATTTTATCTTTTTCTTATGGCAAGCATCATGGTACTCCCGTATTATGTGTACCAGGTTAGGGTTAGGCCATAATTTTATTCCGATTTTCCTTATTTCAGTTCTATTAAGAGTTCGGGACTGTTTGTGTTAGCCAAGTGAATATACCCCATGCTCATAGGTTTCAGTCCCTTTATACAATTTGATGTAAACTTGGCGAACAAAATTAGTTACCTCCATATTGGTACACATACTTTTGGAAGACCAGCATCACTGCACTAGCGTGCATTATGTTCTGCTTGTAGAAGAAAGTACTTTTTGTCAATTTTTCTATCTTGATTGGATTGAAATTTTTGAGTATAATTCATACAATTATGCGTAATTGAAAGCAGCAAACAGGCAAACAGTCTAAAAAGAGTTTCAAGCAACGAAGATTGCAATGTATGATGAGTAAATGCTTTTTTCATATTTAAAAAAGGAAGGGGTTACGACCCTGATTAGAGGTCTACCATTTATTAAATAGACGGAATCTTTTTTTTCGGCTTGCTTAAAAAATTTAGCGGGCATGAGAATTGAACCAGAACTCGCAATTCCAACATAGTAAAGTATAACAATATACCTACTAAGCCCTCAGTAATTAGTATTTCATTTTCCCACCTCAGTAAAAATTTACTTTGTATAAATGAGAAAAAAACACCGCAAAAATTACATTCCAGAGTGAAAAGAGGCGCGAAAAACCAATACTGGTTAACGAGCAGGGCCCACCCATCGCCGCCAGAAAATAAAATTTATTCTAAATACAACAATCATCTAAATCAATTTTCTTTTTTTAGACCCACATCCACCCAACAGTGACCATAAGCACGGACTATTCCAGTACAATCAACACCAGACACAATATGGCACCGGGCCACTCGTCACCTGCGACTATGGAGTAGAAAAAGTCAAAAAAGGAAACTCAGTTTTCCTTCTTTGCAACGACGGAGTCACAAAATACGAAATTAAATGCGTGGCGCATAATAAATGGAGCATCCATGACGAAAATTGCAACAAAGGTACTGATCTTTTTTTTTCTAAAATAGGATTGGATTTTCATATTTATTCTGGAGAGAGATAAGTCAATAATACGGCTTAATCATATGGAGCAACGGTTCTCAAACGGTTGGGGGTAATTTTTCGGGGGACGTGAAGCTGATATAAACACAAGAATATTAGGCCGTCTTATCGACTTACGTGAATGGAACGTGAATATCCAGAATACAGAAAATGTAAATATACAAAATAAGTCTGGCAAGATCAAATCTAGTCATAAAGAAACTTATGTTTCAGTTCTCACTTGGAAATATGTTACCAGTTATTCGTTCTGGATCAGTGGTTTCCAACATTTTGTTGCTCGTGGTCGCCTTGCGAACGCTTTCAGCAATCGTGATCCCCTGTTTATCATTCCAGTGCTATTTATAGTGTTCTTTTTATTGGTAGATTACAAATCCCATTATGTTCAAACAATCCATGCACAAAAAAGTGAAAACACCATGTGATGATAATAATTTGTAGCTCTTAGAAAGTATTTCTTTGATATGTATATTCGCTTGTAAAGTCTTAAAAACTTGAAATTTTCCCATGTAATCTAATATTAATCAATAAATTCATTTTTTTAGTGCAAAAGCCTATGCCACCAGTATACAAGCCAATGCCACCAGTTCACAAGCCTATGCCGCCAGTCCACAAGCCGATGCCACCAGTTCACAAGCCCATGCCACCAGTGCTCAAGCCTTTGACACCTGGGCCAGGTTTCGGACAGCAACCACCCCATCCCGGACACAAGGTGTCGCCATTTCATCCAGGACCCCCACAGGGACCACAAGGTATTTTTATATTGAAATCTTCATATTTTAAAAATGGTTAAAAATATACAAATAAGTGTATTTATACGTTTATGACTCTCATAAATGCTCTATACAAGTTTTCCGCTAGATACTTTGATATTTAACTAGTGAAAATGTAAGGTTCCATTACATTTGAACCCACGTACATTTGAACCCATGACAATTGCACCTGTATGCTATTGCACCTATGGAATTTTTTTTGTTTCACGGATAGTTAAACCCATACTAACCCTAACCCATGGGTTTTAGCACCCGCATATAGATTGAACCCGTGGATATACGCATGGGTTCAAATGTACATGGGTTCAAATGTACGGTCACCAAAATGTAAAAATTGTTTGTCGAGTGAATTCGAAAACAAATGGTATTTTTCAACAATAATACAGTGGAATTATTGAATAAAGTTAATTGGCTATTTAAAAAAAAAAAGCGCTTCCGTAGTAGTGCAACAAGATGGCGGACACCTGAACATATAGCATGTGTATCAGGTTAGGGTCTGACCCTAATTTTATACCAATTTTCCTTATTTTAGTTATATTACAAGTTCGGGGACTTGTTAGATAACTCTCATAGTATTTGTACCTAAAATTATGGCCTAATCTGATACATATATCACGTTCCAGTGTCCGCCATCTTGTTGCACATACTACGGGAGCACCAAAATATGTTCGGATCCACATTTCTTGATTTATCCTTCTTTCATCGTGTCGACTTATCAAAACACATTTTATTTTTTGTGAGTTTTGCTGTTTTTGCGACTGTAGTTCTAATACATTCTATGTTTATTTCGCAGGACGTCCATATTACCCATCTCCAAGCCCTCGTTTCAACATCTACAAATTCATGTTGATGAAAAAGTAAGTAGAATTAACGGCACTTAAAAACGTTCTTGTTTCTTTTTTTTAATAAAAGCAGTAAGTGAGGTAATATAAGCGACGCGGCAAGTTGTCATATAAGTGACAATATTATTGACGTCACAAAAATATTGCTTAACTCATCAATATAATAATTTTTTTCCTTGTATAGACTCATGGGTGGCGGAGCTGGCGGCATGGACTTCAAAGACATTATAAAGTAAGTAAATGTTATAAAATTTTTGTTTGTTATCCGAGTAATATTGAATCTTTCGTAGATTAAAACAATTTTTAGATCTCCAGGGCTCTTGGCAACCCAATTTCCGGCCCGTTAGAAAGTCATTACCCCCTTGTTTTAAAAAGTTGTGCTTACGTCCCTGCCTAGAACCCTAAGCCACATTAGGGACAACCAAACGTCTTACCCATTATCAGCAATTGTTCTCTATCTGAGTATTTAATTAAATTGATGGTTTAACTCTAAATATACGCAGATACGCTTTAATGACACGGTTCATTTGGTCTAATAATACTAATCTTTCAATACAGGAAAGCGATATGGAGGTATAGATATAATGATGTGAAGCCTTTTGTAATTGATAAAAAATTTTCATATCCCTCTTTGAATTTTTAAAATTCAAAACTAGAATTCAATAAAATGCTAAACTCATTTGGTAATTTATACAGAAACGTTTAAGAATGTATAGAAAAATGACGTGCAACCTACCTTACGCAACTGAAATTCGAAAATATACTAAACGTCTATATTTTTACTTCAGATATCAACATCTTCTCGGAGGGTGAGTTATCTATATTATTGCTTTTCAAATATCCAAGGTTACGTAGCCATTTTGACTCGTGTGTAGAACGGGGGTATGCGACAGACGGCCCGCGGGCCACAACTCAGCCCTCCAAGGAATTTAGTATGGCCCTCGTCAACAATCAGGTTTTTCCCATCAAGCATAATATCCTAATCCAAAAGTTTATGCTGCAAAAAGCGTTAATGTGCGTAAAAATACATAATGTTTTTTTGCTCTTGCCACTGCGTTAAATCTTTCTTCGTTTTGCCCGCTGACGTTACTGTAATTTGTTGAGTACAAAGGAAACTTTTTTTTTGGTCCAGCTAGATTACTGGAGTTGGTTATAGGGCCCACCGACAAAATATGTTGCATAACCCTTGGTCTAGAACAGGGGTCGGCAACCCCTGACACGCGTGCCGAACTTGGCATTTAGCCCGTTTATTCGGCAAGCGAGTGAGGCTTCAGAAACGAGATCATTCTCCTTCACAATAATTTCAAGACTCTTATCTGATGAAACTCGCTTATTCATAGTTGTTTGTTAACAATCCGTAGCTACAAAAAAGTGTATAATGACGTCACAAACTGAGTGAGCTCTCGACAATTTTGTTCGACACGCGGATGAATTTTGTCATTAAATTTAGTCGATTTTAGCACGCGAGCCAAAAAAGGCTGCCAGCCCCTGGTCTAAAACTTAGCTTTTACTATTTTTACTTAAATATGCCTGATAATCCTAGAGTCGAACCGAAACATGCGATAATTTTGGGCTTGGAAATCAGCAAGATACCAATGATATGACTGAAACTACTTTATTTTTCAACATTTAATAGATTCTTTGATTGTATTATGCGTTAGTCGCGTTCTCTTTTTTATACAGTTTAAGTATTTTATTATGTGCTCATAAATAAATATTATAGTAACAATCGAAAACTATTTAGAATGTTAGTAATAATACAGCAAATACAAAACCAAATTCCGCCCCCAAAACGGTTAAATTGCTACCGGGTTGGAAAACGTTGCCTTGTGCTAATAAATCTTTTATCATTTACAGAATGCAAGGAGGAAGCGGTGGCGGAATTTTATCGTAAGTACAATTTATATCATGCGCGTAGTTATTATACTAATTAGAATACACTAAATTAGAAAAACCGTGCTTCTCCGTGAAACCAAGACCTAGCCTAAATTTAAATAATGATTTTAGTATAAGCCCTCCATTTGAAATAAGACGTAGTCGATAGCGCGAAAATTCAGTTAAATGAAACCTTCATTTGAATTTATGAATCTAATGACTTGCAGGGAATTCCGGGGGATCATTTTTAAATAATCCATGTTTAGCTTTTTTTTTTAAATAAAACGCGTTATTTGTAAGTAAATGGATATCGGTTTTCATATTTTGTATATTTGGGAATCTCGTATTTCTATGCTTTGTAATTTTGTTTTTGATGAATAAACAGCAAAAGGCATTCTCAAAATATAAGCCCCGGTGTTTTTTTTTCGAAAGAAAATTGAAATAAGACCTTGTCTTAGTTTCGGAGAAACAATACCTGGATTTGGAAACTTTGTGTAGATAAACGTATTTTGGTTATGTCGTATAATGAAAATGTAAATATAAATGGGTAAGGAGTTGAGAAGCACATCATCTACCAATTATTCAAAGTTGATAGACTTTCATCTTATAAAATATGACATCATTTTGGTTACGTGCAAAATCATATAGTCGCATATTCAAAATTTGATTTTAAAAAGTGGGGACCACCCGAAAATAGGATAGGAAGGAATAGGCAAAATACATCGGTATAAAAATTGTTTTCAGAACTATGTTCCGAAAGATGATATGTAATCTACAATAATAAACCTTTGATAATTGCAACGATGATTTTTCAATAATAATTTTCCAAAAGGAGTTTAAAATTGACAGTTACGATAAATATGTTGAAACCTATTAAATTATTGTATATAGATATTACTTTGATATTTCCATATCTTTACAAATGTTCCATTTTGTCTTTAGAATGATGACCAACCCAATGTTCCAACTTCTCGGAGACAAAAACCCATTCAGCAGTCTTTTGGGCGGCGGTTCCGACGACGAAGATGGTAAAAGCGGTATCCTCAGCATGTTAACCAATCCAATGATGGGATTATTTGGAGGGGGAAACCCTATATTGAGTTTATTGAGTGGTTTGGGAGACTCAAGTAACATTTATCACGGTGGCGACGACACAGAATACAACGATCTTGGAAGTAATTATGCGTAAACAAAGATAATGTGTTATTATTTATTATGATGTCATATAAGTAAGCCTCATATTTGTTTTGTCACAAACAATATTTATTTATCCAATCAAATATTTATTGTAATATTTTGAATGATAGAAAGTTACTTGTGCCCGACTTTTTGCAATAAAATGTCGTGATTACTGTTTTTGAAAATGCAAGTTTCTGTATTTGGGTTGGGATATGGTATACGGTGGTATAGGTAAAGTCCTTAAACGTAAAGTCTCACTGGCTTAATAACCGTGGGGTCTGGTGTAGTACCACGGGTACCTCTGATAGGCGGGGCTCAACAATTTATGCATACGTAATTCCGAATCTTCATCTGACTACGTCGTCGAAAAATTACGTCATAGTGACGTGTAGTCTAGTCTCCACAACATTGAGGAGTGCATACGCACCTATTACTCGGAGTTGTACACAGGGCGGTAGTATAAACCATAAACCAAGTGCTCCGGACGGAGACCCAGGGCTCCACGAGAGAAACCCAGGGGCTCCGCGACTATTCGATTACTTTTCAAAATACTGACTTGGCTAATTTAGTAACTGTTCATAAAAGCAATTATTTAAAAGCAGGAGCGCAGCCAGGATTCTTAAGGGGGGAAATTGAATCGAAAATTTCCGCGCAACATTCTTCGCAATTAAATAAAAACGGATAACGAGATTTCTGTTGCGTAAAATATTCAATCCATGACCAATGCGAGCATTTAAAGTGTCTTTTAATAATTTAATTGCGCTCATCGTTACTCACGTTTGATTCGAGGTTACTATTAGGATTACTAAAAGGAGTGAATACTATTCTAAAATAACATAAAATAGGCTTTTCACTTGGCTAACAGAGGCAGTCACCGAACTCTTAATACAACTAAAATAGGGAAAATCGAAACAAAATTATGCCCAAACCCTAACCTCGTACACACACTTCGGAAGTACCGACGAAAGTCTACATTCGACTCACTGTTACGAAAAATTTTGACTCAAATAAAATATTTTGATATCGAAGACATCATCGGCGATTACGCGCCTTCTTCCTTAACAGGCACGCCTAGTGAATTGTTTCTCGACTGTCTGTATAAAATTCCGTTTATGACCATGAAAAGTCTCGAGATTTCGACTGCAGGGAATTCAGAACTTCGAGTCAGACTGAGAAAAAACGACTATGATTAAATAAATCACGATTCCACAGTTCTCCGTTCGTCATAACAGTAGGATAAGCCATATTGAATCTTCCCTCTGTTTTGGATAACCTCAAAAATTTTTATAATATTTCTCTCTACCGCTAGAGACAAAAACTGTAAACGAGATTATAAGCATAGAATATATTTCAGCAATATAGCAACAATATGGCACAATTCACAGTTCTAGGTAAGAATATTAAAATTAGACACACAAATAAGAAAACAGACTGTGTAGTAATATATATCCACTGCCCTAATATCAGCTTTACACTGAAAAAACAAACTTAAAAACCACCCATGTTAGTCAGTTACTCACAAAATTTTCGGTATTTCCGGAGTATGTGAACCAAGATGGCGGACACCAGAACATAGTATGTGTACCAGGTTAGGGTTAGGCCATAATATTATTCAGATTTTCCTTATTTTAGTTCTATTATGAGTTCGGGGGCTAGCCAAGTGACTCCGGTAGTAATTATGGCCAACCCTAACCTGGTACACATACTACGTTCCAGTGTCCACCATGTTGGTTTACATACTATGGGATTACCAAATTTTCCATGTTGGTAATATCCTGGTATCGCCCCACCACAAATTTCCATTACCTTGTTTATCTTATGTAAAGTTAGCCTATAGGACGCTGTTCCCTTTTAAAATAATATGGCGAGTACTGGGTGATCCGGACGTGCGGTATGCAAAAGACCAGTGCCAGGGGAGCTATTTAGAATCGGGAAACACTAAAAACACTACCACAATTCTCCTCCAATAATTTCAAGACTCTTATCTGATGAAACTCTGTGTCCGCTTATTCATGGTTGTTTGTTAACAATCCGTTATTTATTTAAACTCTTTCCGATCTTTCATGACATATAGCTACAAAAAAGTGTATAATGACGTCACAACTGAGTGAGCTCTCGACAATTTTGTTGGACACGCGGATGAATTTTGTCATTAAATTTAGTCGATTTTGGCACGCACCACAATTCGATAGACTGGTGAAGGGAAAGGTGTTGTGAAGATGATATGGCAAACGCCGCCCTCTCGTACGGTTAACGGTCCAAGTCGGATTTTTTGGTATTATTAGTCAGTTATTTGTTTTCAAAAGCATGGACGTGTGTGGTGAAACGAGTGACGTGGTATTAACAGAATAGCAACCCTAACATAAGTGGAACAATTGCGGCAAAGTAGGACACCGGACATTTACCATCTCCCAAGACAAAACTAAATTGTAAAATCTATCGCGGCTGTTTCCCCTTTCCCTACTTTAATAACATGAGTTTGTTGTGACACTCTATCGCCACCTAGCGTTGCTGCAGAGATACTGTAAGTCCCTGGTGAAACAACGATTTGAACGTCTTCATCTTGTAACTGAAAATATAGAAGTAAGATCAGGGATTTCATAGTCATACTGATGGAGAAAAAAGCTGATAAAATTGTTTGAAAATATGGCGACCCCCAGCCTTTCGTCCAGGTATTTCAGCGGTTCCCAAAGTTGACTGGCCGGGGGCCAAAATTAGAAGAGGAAGAATATTTGGGGAATAGGAGAATGGAACGCCTGCAAAGAGGTTCAACCAGTATAATTGAATTGTTAGGAGTATACAAAGGCTTAAATTGTGATAATGACATAACAATTGTGGGTATCTAGAACAAAAAAAAACAAGGGTTAATCTATTTCACTTATGTTCGGCGGGCTTTATTAAATCGTTACACGAATCGTAATTGGCCCGGGGGCCGCATTTTGGGAACCATTGGCTCGGTGGTGTGGTGCATCATGCTAAGCGTTAGGAATACGCTCGCCACCGCGTTTCTGATTATCTTTCGTGGGTTCGCAGGTTCTAATCCCATGCGGGGATGATCATGTGCGAGAGGATTGCTGGACTCCTCGCTGCCGTAGGGTGGTTCACGTAACCGCTGGTCGGTTACGGCTTTCTCCACCATCAAGTCCATGCTTCCGAAAACAAATAACTGGCTAACTAATACCATACCCGACCTGGACTGGTAACCGGACGAGAGGCCGTGGTTCGCCATATGGTTAAGCCATCTTATCGGTTTTCCTCTCCCCCGGGATAAATATGTAAATCCTATCCTATCCATTGAATTACTAGTTCACTTAGGTGGTGATACACCTTGTAGGTCATTAAGAGAGGTAATAATCCTGGCACCCCTAATTTATAGTAGCCTTTTGTACAGTAGTCTTTGCTTGTACAATTTACAATTGACACTCAAATTTGGGTACTCCGGTAGTGTGCGTACCAAGTTAGGGTTGGGCCATAATTTTGTTCCGATTTTCCTTATTTTAGTTATATTACGAGTTCAGGGACTGCCTGTGTTAGCCAAGTGAATATACCCCCTGCCCATAGGCTTCAAACCCTTTGTGTTAAATTGGTGTTCTCTTCGCGGCCCCTAGAATTCGTTTCACGGCCCCTTTCAGGCCGCGGCCCCTAGTTTGGGAAGCCCCGGTCTATAGAATGGAAATAAACTTATTACAGTGGTAATATTCAGATATTACACCGCACCTCTAATTACTCTGCGTGGGTTCGCAGGTTCGAATCCCATGCGGGATGGTTATGTGCGAGAGGATTGCTGAACAAAACTTGATGTAAAGTAGACGAACAAAATTAGTTGCCTCCATATTGATACACATACTTCTGGAACGCCCAAATTTGACCTTTTATTTTGACAATAAAAAGTAACTTGATAAACCCATATAAGACTCAACTCACAGGATTTCTTCTTCTTTTCTCTGTCAGAGTCTGCGTTAAATACTTTGAACAAAATCTTCGATCGTGTTTGTTGTATTCCATGGCTGGCGTGGATCGATAATATCTCTGGAAATAAAAAGACAAATATTGACAGTTTCAAAAAAAAGACTGATGTTGAAATTTCAAAAAAGTTTCGTCCTGGCTCGGCGGTGTTAGGAATACATAGAGGATTGCTGAACTCCTCGTCATGTACAGGTTTTGCTTTGTTAAAATCTTAATCCAGCAATGTGGTCAGGGACGCAGCCAGGATTTTCCCAACGGGGGGTTACGGTGAAAGTAAAACATTGAACCAAAAGTGCAGTTCACAACAATGTAAGCCGTTTAATAAACTAAAATGTATGGTTGTTTACAGAAGAATTACACAGTTACGTGTAGCCCGCTTCTCTTATCCTGTGTTTGGTGAATATTTTGCAAGTCGTATTTCAAACATCGACCATTAATCTGTAGTCAGCACAATGTGGTATAAATTCCAATATTAAAATAACTATAAAATTGGATAAGATTCAATATTCTGGATTCGATTTAAGTATTTTAGAATAGTAAATTATTCTACATCGCCTATCCATACATACCAAACAGTTTCTTGAGGCTGTTGATAATGACTGCATCACTGTTGTGTAAGCATCTTCTACAGAAGTGTGTCCTATTGACTCCTATAACAAATTTAAACATAAAAATAATAACGATAACTTGGGAAATATTCGTGGACATTCATTCATTTTATTCATCCTTTGAAAGTCTAGACCAGAGGACGGCAACATTTGTCGCTCGTGGGCCCAAACTAAAGGTTTCAAGTCATTGGCGGGCTGCACATATTTTTAGAAAATTAAAAACCGAATGAATGACCGATGAATCACATTTTTTCACACAGATCAGAGGTTAAATTTTAAGCAGCGCGCGAAGACTGACCATTTGAATATTTTTTGCACCATAAACCATTTGCACTTAGCATCATTAAACGAGTGATTGTGACCTATATACTTGTAACGTTATAATATAATTTAGTCTACACTTAAATTCTTTTGCGTAAAGAAAATTATCGACAAAACAACCGTTTGTTACTATAATTTAGTGAAGCGTCGCACGTCGGATTATATTGCTCCGTGGGCCGGATCCGGCCTGGTCTACCCAGGGATACTCAACTATTTTTACCGAAGATATGCATACAAAACTTCAAAATTATTTGGGTCTGGTCTTCCCAGAATTAATATTTAGGCATCCTCAAACGCACACTTCCTCGGCCGGCTAATGATCATTAGCTAATAGAAATTGCTTATTATGGTGTTATAGTTCTTTTCATATATATTCAAAACTATAAAAGTCATTTTATAAAAGGAAACTTCAAAAGTGGGGCTTATGATCTAAAATAAAGAAATGAGTGCGGTCCGAATCCCGTACTCGAAAGGTCCGGATTCGGACCACGGTCCGCCAGTTGAGTAGCCCTGATCTAGACCATTCAGCTAACATGAGCGAAATTTAAAGTTTTAGTGAATTATGTTTATCGCGGGTTAAAATCTCATGACCACAAGCTCACCCAGGATGTAATAAATTCAGTAGGCAACACCTAGATGTAGATATTCGGAACCCTTCAAACTCTATTAGCTTGGCGGTGTGGCGTATCGTACTAAGCACTAGGAATACGCTAGCCCAGCACTGATAATTATTCTGGGTGGGTTCACAGGTTCGAATGCTGTTAAGGATAATTATGTGCGAGAGGATTGCTGGGCTCCTCGCCGCTGTAGGGTGGTTCACGTAACCGCTGTTCGGTTACGGCTTCGTCCACCATCAAGTCCATGCACGTCAAAACAGAATACCTCGCTAACTAATCCCAAGGACTGGTAATCGAACGAGAGGCTGTGGTTCGCATATGATAAAGCAGTCTTGTTGAAATTCCTCTCCCCCGAGATAAATATGTTAATCCTATCCTTACTTAGAATTGGCTGCTTTTATAAAGTCAGATAATTAATACCAGATCATTGCAATGTCACGGCCCACAGGAATGAGCAAAGTGCACAAAAACATATATTCCATAACACACTTCGGTACCTGTACAGTAGGCGTTACATTCTTTATTGAAGGATACTCGATCTCTCTCTGCCTTGCTCTTTGCAGTGTGATATAGGCTTGTCCTGTCGTTCTCCGTAAGGTATTTGAAGTCCATAGCTCTGGCTGGGCATTCATTTTTTGTTTTGCAATTTTTTTTTTTAAGTTTTATCAATATGCTATAAACTGTTAAAATTAAAAATAAAATTGATAAAAGTAAATAAAATTATTGCTCTGGTAATTAGCAATATATAATTAAATATTAAATTGAAGCAATGGTATTGACATAGCAATAATAATACATATTGAATACTGAACACATTCATAAAATTAGTACATAATGATTTAATATATGGTTTATAACAAACTGGGCCTCAGATCCACTATGTAAGGTTTCTCAAACTTTTTTGCCCCGAAACACCTACGCTTTTTTATCTCATTTTGCGGAAAACCAAGAAATTATAAGATAAAAAAGATGGGTGCAACCTCGACAATTGAAAACTTAGGCCGATGGTTACCGATATTGAACGGGTAACGAGAACGCCATGCTTTCCAGACAGCAAATTTATGACCCAGAGTCGCAAAAGTACGACCGAGATCGCCATGGCAATCAATTTAGTCGCAAATTTGATCCCTGCTCCGCGGAACACAGTTTGAGAAATGCCCACTAGAGGGCCACAGAGTCCTGAGCAGTTCTCTCAGGGCCACAAGCAAATGCTCTCGCTATGTACCATTCACATTGATTACATTAATTTAGAGTAGATTGACTTAGATTTGTTTGATTCTTAAACTGTAACATATTTATTTTTATAATTTCATTTGCTGGCTTGTCACTATTAAACATAGCAAATAAAATGACTGATACATAGAGATGACTGATCATACATGACCAACCAACGGCGACCATGTGCTCTCACGAGCAAAGTGCTCAGTTATGTTGGCGGGCTCTTGGATAAACTTTGCTTAAGATTATGGATTTTCATCATTTATATTGAGGCGTAAATTATATTTCACGACCACATACACATGCGCTGCACAATCTCTGCATATTTAGGTTCATTATCGGGAGTTACAAAACCATGACGAACCAAAAAATCCAGCGTAATTGCAGCACAATTAGGTTTGAAATTGTCTTGTATAATGAGATTCTTAATTTCATCAATATTAAATAACGTAAAAGTCTGCATTTCGCCATCGAGTGGTTTGGGGGTAAAATCTAACGGTAATTCTAAATCGAAACAGTATTGTAATTCCTTTCCAATGCCTCTATCATTTTCTATTGTATAACTCGCACATCCGACTGAGATCATATTTTCCGCGATATTCTCTGGAATACTGGCTTCCTCGTAGCATTCTTTAATCATTGTTTCTCGAATCCCAAACCCAACTCCGAGGCCACCAGCAGCCACATTGTCCCACATTCCAGGATAAGTTTCTTTTTTGGGCGATCGCCGTCCGAGCCATATGCAAAACCCTCTTTCAGGGTGTTTCACGTAGCCGTTAACATGAGCTCCATACGCTCTTACACCAAATAGTGAAGTTGCAGCTCTCTCTACTTTTAATAAGGCAGGTTGGCCAGGTCCAGATGCAACATCATAGTCCTGTTAACAGAGAGAAATAGCTTATTATACGTAGCTCAAATTAGTACCGATAATTAAAAAGCATAATTGGCACAGATGCGAGTATTGAATCAAATATTAAAAAATGATATAGTCTATAAAATTATTGAATAACTTTGGTGGGAGATGATTATGAGCAGGTGCATTGCTGGACTTCTCACAGTTGTAGGGTGGTTAGGGCATTTGCCTATTCCCAAGGTCCACTACCAACATCCCATGTAGCATGTAATGATTAATAAAGCAGACAATGCATAGTCGCAAAAATTATAGTCTTTCAGAAAAAGTTACCAAGAATCATCGGTTTATTGTGATTGCACAAACAAATAAAATAATACTGTAATAGAGAGTTTACAGAGAACGATTTCATTTCCCAAATAATGTCAACACCATGAAAAACTTTTGAAGAAACAGAAACAAAAAATAACAGTTCAATAATAATTGGTTATCGTATACTGATTTTGCTTGCAATATTTACCTCATTTCTCCAGTACCTCAAAGTCAAGAAAGCGTTTTTTTCTTTGAGATCTTGCACAACTTTGAGAACAGCCTCCGAACGCTCATCATATGTCTTAAATTTCTCATTCAATTCAACAGAATTGATTTGATTAGCTTGGTTACATTGAAGAGTAAAAGTTCCAGAATAATTTGCAAGCTCTTTCACAAGTTCTTGTTGTAAAATCCCGACATTCTGGCCATTGACGATAAATGGAACACAAGTCGGTTTGCTTGACCCTGGCTCGTCAAAGCTGTTGAGTTTTCTCAGCAGTCTGAGAACTCCTTCAGACCATTCTGAATTGCTCATTTTACCACTTCCTTCACTACTGCTTGACAGAGCTATCCTACAGTCAGACAGTCCTATTTCAGTACTGTATTTAATAAGTTTTCTCTACAGACAGATGGAAAAAGGAGGATAGGATTTACATATTTATCCCGGGGGAGAGGAAAGTCGATAAGATGGCTTATCCATATGGCGAACCACAGCCTATCTTCCGGCTACCATTCCATGTCGGGTACCGGTATTGGATTAGTTAGTTACTTGTTTTTCGGAAGCATGGACTTGATGGTAGAGGAAACCGTAACCGACCAGCGGTTCATGGACCACCCTAAAGCCCTACGGCTGCGAGGATTCCAGCAATCCTCTCACACATAACCATCCCGCATGGGATCCGATCCTGCGAACCCACGCACAGTAATTAGAGGCGCGGTGTACCGTAATATCTGAATATTAACACTGTAATAAGTTCATTCCCATTCTATAGACTACCTACAGCCACAATCTGTAATCAGCACAACATACGATAAAATAATTGATAAAATTAAACGAATAAAAACAGATGACAGATGAGAGAACAAATAAAAACTAACGTAAAACTTCTGACTACCGTAAAAGCGCCTAACTTCGGACAAAATTACTATATTTTCGTCAATAACTCGGCCATTTATTGTCCAAACGGTGCCAAAATTGCTCGGTAAAACATTCGTGCGGTAATTTACATTCCCTGCAAATTTCGGTTCAATTGGACTATTTTTACTATTGAAATAATCGATATTTCTTGCCATCTGACCGTTATCCTTCACTGCCCTAACTTCGGACAGTCATTTTCTTCACTGCGTAACCGCGACGCACAGAGAGAAAGAGGCTCCCGATGCGGATGACGTAATCACGTCGTTGCGTGAAGATAAGACGCTCGATCGTCGTCGTAACGTAACATTGACGTCACGACGAAAATGCATTATTTGAAACTTCCGTCGACCTATGTTTACATCTTTCGTTCGTTATTTTCGATACTTCAGATGAGTATAATAACACGTTAGTCATTTTAATCAGGAAATGCATACGTAAATATATCTGATGCAAACCGTTTCAATCCACAATGAAGTATTTTAACGGGCTTCTATCGAAGTCTTTGAAGTATTAATATTCTCGACGGATAGCTTTTTTTATTCTGCGCGGTTATCTTTATAAATGATAATTTATATCAAACACACGGTAAATCCGATTGTAAAGTTTAATTTAAAATTCAACTTAATCTTGTAAACATGTAGGTCCCGTTTATTTGTTGGAGATTAAATTTATTTTTAATTTCGAGTGAATAAAATTCACCCAGGCCGTATTCAATAACTGTCATTTCGACTACTAATCATAAAATAATGGTTAAGTCAGTGCACTGTGCCATATGGACGTTGGAATTATCATAGTTCATTATATATTCGATTTTTAACGTCATCGATTAAGTGTGACATGTATTTTCATTAATGTAATTTTGGCATATATTCATACATGACCGAACAAAATACAAAAATATTAGATTGAAACGCCGTCTTTATCTTAACGGAAATTGTCATATTGGCTCCGTTGTGTCTGGCGTCAAAATTCATTTCCGCGACGCAGTGTGACGTCGTGTCGGAAGTGAGCGAAAAATAATCTACGTGAGGTTGACGTAATTTTTGACGCTGCGTGAAATCTTAATATTCTTACGGAATTTATAATTCAGAATTTTAGGTTTTATTTAAATCTCGTACGACATCTTGCGATCACTCAAATAAATTATATACATTGTTGTCGCCCTCTACCGAATGATGGTATTTTGACGACGATAGCTTCAGTAGGAGCGACGCTCTGCGCCGTTGAATGCCGGGCAGTCAATTTTCGGCAAAATTTCCGTTTTTTTACCAAAAAAATAATTATGCAACATTAAAAAAGATGAGAATAGATGTAGATATAACAGCGCAACCTATAATAATTAAAATTAGCAATATACGGCGCGTTTTAGCCAAGATATGGCCGTTCAAAAATTTTGTCCGAAGTTAGGCGCTTTTACGGTACCGCACCGGTATGATTCAAGAAGCACACATCATGCTGCAAAGTACGGTACGAGAATATACTGTAATAATCCAAACCATCACAGAGATATATTAAATTATAAAATTATGAGAAAGTAAGGATTGGAGGATAAATCACTTGTCTCACTATATCTCCACATTCTGACATTGTAGCAACTTGTGGTCAAATACAAAAACAAACAATGTTTTGTTAGAAAATCTGTCAATCAAACAGCGTGTCAGCAGCGCCACATACCGGTTCATAATATAGGATCAGGCGGGAATTATTTTTATTTTGCGGACTGGTTGTGTTGACCAAGTGAGTATAATCCCTGCCCATAGTTTTTTTTTTATAAAACTTAATGTAAAGTAGGCGAACAAAATTATTTATCTCCATATTGGTACACACATTTCTGAAGCGCCATTTCTAGATAACAAATTACTTACTAATACTGTTTACTAATCAAAGCTTCTGATACTATTATAATAACAAATTAATTTCTTCTATTCGTAGTAACGAAAAGCAGAATCATTTTAGATGGTGCTACTTTTGTCGCGCACATTAGTTGAAACCAGAATACTACTCGTAAGTTAACTATCACTTTTCTTGTTGTGGATGACTTACGCTTGTCCTCTTGATTAATTTGAAACGGTACTTTGATCATTCGGAGATATTTTCATCCAATCTTCATCTTGATATTTAAGATATATGGTTTTATTAATAAATTTTGAAAACAATACAATTTTATTTATACAACTCACTTGTAAAATGCTTAAATAAAACAATTTGAAACTGAAAAAATCAAATATCAAAGTAGCAGTGTTCTCTACCCGACAACACCCTCTACAAAATTGCCGGTCAACGATCAGGGGGCGCATTCAAAAACTTTGCCACATGCGCCACCTTACACAGATACGCCACTGGTTGCCATACAAATGTGTAAAACGGGTGACTGTTTGCCTGAGTTCTTGTTTGCAATCTTTTGTACAAAGCCCCCGCATCTAATGCAGAAATGTGAGATTTGAGAAAAACACCCCCGTCACGTTTTTGAATACCAAATTAGTAATTATCAAATTTGGGTTAGGGAATGATTCAAATTGCAATCTGCATTTCTAAATCTAACTTTATAATTACATTTTTTTATTACCTGGATCAATTCCAAGAAAAAACTGCGTTAAAATTTATCAATCCTCATTTAGATGCAAAAACGACAAAAGTCGTCAAAAACAAAAAGATAATTAGACCAACTATTTATTAAGTCTGGTTATCGGGTAATACGTTTGATGGACTGGAATTTTTATTGAACAAAACCATGAATATGGGTGACCATTCAAAATTGTTTTTAAAATGAATAAATTTCCAACAATTTCAGCGGGTCATATCTCGCGTTACGGACAATACCATTTGTAAGAAGTAAATCAGATATATATAGTGTGCTTTTAAAACTTGTCAAACCTTAAAACTATATTTTTACAGACTACGAAACAAAGAAGATTCAGCAACAATGTTAGCGGTCAATATAAAACATTTTCGTTTGGGTAGTTCCAATTATTGAAAACCATTACCGAATTGTAATCAATCTCGCGAAGCAAAAACCGAGCGGCAAGAACATGTTCGATGTTCCTATTTATGCACAGAATTGAAAAAACGCATCATTGAATAAAATAAGTTTCAAATTGTTTTTAAATGAAACTTAGACTGAATACAATAAATTCGTTAACGAGTTCGAGTAACGAATTCGAGTTTTTTTTTTAATGATTCTGTAATGTATTTAATTTGAAAGGTTTTATGTGGTTTTTGACAGGTTTTCACTGTTTTTGCAAGTGTTTGGTGAATTTTCACTATTTTTGCAGGTTGTTTCAAATTATTGAATAACATTATTTATCGAAGCTAATTAGGGATATTTAAATATGATTTCTATCGGGAAACACAATAAGTGCTAATTTCTCGTGTCCACGTAATGTTCAGGTTGTACTTGAATATAGTTAGCTCGCGCTATTTGCATTTTAGTTTATGTTCCACAGCTCTCTCGCAGCGCTTGACTGCGAATGCACTCTCGCTCACCGTAATTTCCTAAATTGTAGTCTTCGATTTTAATAAATGACGAATAATATGGAGCTAAGACGTGCGGTATGGTGGCCTGCGGTATCGGCCTATTTACCTTTTTACAGTTTTAGGATATTGTATCAAAATGTGTGGATGTAATCTAGGAATAAGATTATTCATGAGATATTTCAGCCAAGTGAAAGTATGCTTCATGGCACGAACGTAGACATCACTAACTTACGCCATGGTACTCTGGTATTACCTAATAAATGTGTGAGTTCGGTCAGATTTGCTCAAATGATCATGTAAGTGTTCAAGACATTTTCTAGTTGTTTGTGCATAGTACTACTCAAGCGTAGCGAAGCAGACGTTATCTAACTATATTCAACAACTATGGTTCAGAGATGTGAGATTTCACCACTATATGTCGCTGCCGAGTCATAAATCGCTCATGCAAGAATCATGGTTACGAAAGACGCGTAGCGAAGGGAAAACCGCAATTTTTGCTCACTTGTCAGTTCTTTTCGTATTTCAATATTTCTGCCATGTCTTGAATTTCAGTCAGGTTTATCTAATAAAATATGAAAAATGACTTCGCCTATTAGTAGTCTGAGCAAAGGAAAGAAATCACCGTTGACGCCTTCTAGGAGTTTTGGGTAAGTCTGTAAGTTTATGCATCCGAAACGAATACCGGTAGCAGAATAACGTCTGCCAGCCCGTTTTCCAGTATGTCAGTAGCCTATTTAAGATTTGTCTGTTTGTAGCCTGTATAAATTCCAAGGTGCTAGAATGGCGAAATTTGTCAATAGAATTTCTCAAAATTTTGAAATTTCATATTGGAAATAATCAAAACTCATATTTTTTTCTTAAATAATAACTTGCAAATGTACAAAGATCTCAATTCAACAAAAAACTATTGGAAATGTCTCATTGATTTCTGTAGATGACAAAGTTAATATGGATATATAATTTATTTTGAATGCAGCCACGATACAAAAAAAGACAACATACAAGAAGGAATTTAGCAAGTTTTCAAGACTTAACATGCGATTTGAGACATGCGAAATAATAGTTTCACCTTTGACTTAGAATATAATAAGAACAACACAATATATATAAGATATTCTTCAAAATCTTCTTTAGGCATATGGTAATTGTTGTGATATATGGTTGCATCGAAAAACTATTTTTTCCACAACCCCAATTTTTGTGAAATCAAAGAAATTAGGACTGTTTAATCAAATACTGACTAACCCCAGCTTTCAGAGCCCTCCAATGCGGCCCGCCAGTATTCATCATGAATTGTCATTTTTTTGGAAAATTTTCACAATGAGACCAAGCTTTAGAAGGGGTCTGATATATTACCTCTGTCACGCTAACGAAATGCTGCTGCTCAAAAATACGATGTCATAAAAAGTGTTTCATTATAAAATTTATGAATAAAAAATAATTTAATTGCACTAAGCAAATGAGGTCTAAAATTTCGTTAGGGTTAGGGTTTTCGTGGCTATTGATTAGAAATACTTCGCAAAGTGGGAACACACTTTTATGACATCGTATATTTTTATGTAGGATTTCGCTAGCATTTCGCTGACGTGACAGTGGCGATATATTATAGTAGGCATGGCTCAACAATTTTTGCCTTCTTATTCGACACCTGACGAGGCCATCCAACGATTACGCCACTACGACGTCACAGTGATGTGATAAGGTCTGCATACATGGAGGGTTGTCCGTAACGCGTGATCACCTGAAATTGAGCAAGCTACGTCGCATCAAAAGTCATAGTCCCTCGCGATTTATTGTCTTGTGATTCCAGTATTAGAGAGATCGCTATCATAGTTTGATGTGATTGTCGCTATACTTTCTGACTTAGGCAAGCTCTATAACAGGATTGTTGATCAATTGGACAAACATTGGATGAAAATTTTTACTATTTTATGATTTTAGAAAACGTTCAGTGCCATTCCGAATGCCTGAATACACCTCAAGTGAACGGGCCTTGTTAAATGACATCACAGGGATAACGCATCATCATGACATCACAGGTCAAAGTTCACCACGTCATAAAGACATCACTGGTCTAAGGTCTTCATATAGTTCCAGTGAAAGTTCAAGTGATGGTCCTGCATCGACTCCACTGCGAAAACTACTTCAGCCACTCGATGGCTCACCAAAAGAAATGTTCAATGCATTTAATGGAAATAGAAAGCCAAGCCCTCTTGGTCTTGTTAATTCACCAATTAAAGGTAACTGGAAAGCAAAAAACTGGAAAAAATCAACATTCTAATGGGCTAATGCATTCCGATGCCTCCTGATTCCAAATCTTCATAGAGTTCAAATTTCTATGTCTACGACTTTTGGCTCCAGCAAGAAAATTCAGGTGTTCCGGAAGTATGCGCACCAAGATGTCGCACAACCTGAACCCTAACTTGGTACACAACCTGAGTTTAAGTTGTGCGTCATCTTGGTGCGCATACTTCAGGAGGTCCAAAATTTAACTTTCTAGGTTACATTTTCTATATAAGTCTTTTGCTTCAAACAAGACCTTATGCATGACATGAGCAAACTACGCCCAAATCCGGCCCATTAAGTAATTCAATCTGGCCCGCCTGATGCTTCCCCAACCGAACTAAAAACAAATTATAATGATTTAGCTAAAAAATAGCTCAAGGCATTTGTTAAGATTGCGATTGAATTTAAATTTGGCACGAGGCCTATTGTTTTTTTAATTTTGCTTTTGTAACACTGTAAATATTGTTAATAATATGTAGCGTTTTACGCCACACTCACATGGCCCGTCAGTCTAAGGGGGCTAGATTTTTGACCCCTCGGTAAACAACCTTGCTCTGTACTCTGTACTGTACAAATAGCTACTTTGTTTTTGTGATAAAAAGTCTCTCTCCATGCCTAGTTTCCTACCTGGTGCAGAAATACAACATTTAATTGGTTTGTTCCACAGGGAACTCATCGACCAATGTTCCATCAGACATGGACTTAATGACATCAATGATGCAGAAAATAGCGATACTAGAAAAGAAAAATTTATCGTATACGAGAGAGATTCTTGAAAAAGACAAAAGAATAAAGGTTGGTACAAAGCTGACCTACTGCAGTGGTTCCCAAATGAGGGTCTGCAAAGCCATAAGGGTTAACAAAAATGGGGTAGTGTCTGTGAACTTTGCACTTTTATAAAAACATAATAGCAAAATAGACCATCATTGTGGTCGAACTTGCAAAAGGTAACAAATCGAGGGCATCGTTATAACTGATCTTATGAACAGACATGTTTATTCACTTTTTAAGTTTTTTCAAAAGACATTTCAAGTTTTCATTTGATCATATTTTGATATGCTGTCATCCTGGTCATAAGTCGTGTGATCTCATTTAAAGGGGTTCACATATTTTTGGGAAATATCCAGAAGTATGTGTACCAATGTGGAGGTAACTAATTTTATTTGTCAACTTTACATCAAGTTCTGTTGTAAAGGGGCTTAAACCTATTGGCAGGGGGTATATTCACTTGGTTAACACAGACAGTCCCTGAACTCGTAAAAAACTAAAAAAACGAAAATCGGAATAAAATTATAGCCCAACCCTAACTTGGTACCCATATTACGGGACTACATAGAAAAGTTTGAGAACAACTGGCCTACCTCGTCTGGGTGTAATATATTAACTACGCTATGATGAAATGATGGTACTCCCTTAGTGTGTGTACCAGGTTAGGGCCATAATTTTATTCTGTTTTCCTTATTTTAGTTCTATTATGAGTTCGGGGACTGTCTGTGTTAGCCAAGTGAATATACCTCTGCCCATAGGCATCAGTCTCTTTACACAACTTGATGTAAAATAGGCGAACAAAATTAGTTACCTCCATATTGGTACTTTTGGAGCGCCCATATATTTATATTCCAAGTTCTTTTGCTCCTAGTGAATTAGTCTGGGAACTTCTTTTATAAGTAAATTGGTTTCATCAATGAAATTTCCACCATCATATTGACAGGTTTTGGAAGAGAAAACTTCTCTGTTAGAAAGAAATTTGAAATCTGGAGAGAACGAAAGTCCGTCAAAAGTCGCTGAACTTGAAGCGAAATGTTTGGAATTAAAACAGCAGGTTTATGAGATGGAGGTGAGTGGGTGGGGGAATGGATGTGAAAGTGACTAGAATAAGGGTTTCCAGTCTTCTCTTCGCTTATTGGACGCTTGGTGAACCTATAGATCATTTCGCTATTATGTTGTTGTTGGTCTTTGAAATAATTTTTTTGGTTATTAAAAATCACTTTTCTCTTCAACTACTGACCAATCGCTTTAAAATTTTCAGTGGTTAAAGATTGATTTTTCGCTAGAAGGCTATTACTTTCAATTATTCCTAAATTTTCCCATGCTGGGATAATTATGTGTGAGAGGATTGCTGGACTCCTCGTCGACGTAGGGTGGTTCATGTAACCGCTGGTCGGTTATGGCTTCCTCTACCTGACATGGATTGGTAACCGGACAAGAGGCCGTGGTTTGCCATATCATTAACCCGTCTTATCGTCTTTTCTCTCTCCCGGTAAATTTTTAAATCCTATCCTAACAGATGTCTAGGTGCTGGAGCCACAGAAATTTCCGGTAGCATCAGCTCCATCTAATATGGTAAGCTTGGCTCCCAGCCATGGCTGTAACACATTAATTTTTTATTTTAGACGTTTCTGGCAGACTACGGGATGATTTGGGTTGGTGAGAAATCGAATCCCAATTCCAATAAATATCTTGATGATGAAGAAATAAATCACCAAACGCCCGTGACGTTGAATAATAATGCAATTGCATGGAAGCCTGGTATGTCGTATTCATGATTAGGAATTTTTAGGGTGATCCAGAAAAACAGAACGCAGTTCATTTGAAATATATTCTAGAGCATGGGTTCTCAACTATTTTTACCAAAGATCCGCATACAAAAATTATTTGGGTTCGGTGTTTCCAGAAATTATATTTTGACATCCTTAAACAGCGCACTTCCTTGACGAGCAAATGATTATACTATCTAATCAAAATGGTTTATTATGGTTTTATAGTTCTTTTGATATATATTCAAAACTATAGAAGTTATTTTATGAAAGGAAACTTCAAAAGTGAGGCTGATCCGAAATAAAAAATTATGTACGGTCCGAATCAAATACTCGAAAGGTTCCGATTGTTGCCCTGTTCTAGAGCATGGGTTCTCAAACTTTTTGGGCCTTTTTAGAATTCGTCAAGTATTGTGCTCCATCTCATAAATAACTAGCCAACAATAAGCTACAAATAACAGATAGTTGGACGAAAGTATGTTTCATTCAAAACAAGTTGAAAATATGTGGACATAATAAGAAAAGTAAACAATAAAGAAAAGTAAATATCGAAAATAAGGGAGACAAGATCAAATCTAACATTTTTTTAATTAGCTAGACCTATTGCAAAATGCAAAAGTCTAGACAACTCGCTTGCTTGCTATCACATTGTTTAGAGAAAAGATTTCCTGTCACTGGTCTGCAGGGTACCACATTGCTATATCTTATTCTAAATTTAAACGTTAATAAACTTTTTAGGTTCATCAGTATCAGGTCAAGTTTTCACCCCAGATTTTGATCTTATTGTCGAAAATGTGAACGATTTGAACATTCTGGCAGGGAAAGGAGAAAATAAGGTCGCCCAGACGATGGGGGGAGCAAAATTAAAGGTAAGGGTGCTGAAATGGTCCTGTGGCTGAAGCATTAGACTTACTATGAGGACATCGGGAGTTTCCAACGCCCACAAACTAATAAATTGAATAGACAATACTATATTGCGAAGATTTTGGTTTTTGTTTAGCTTTAGCTTCTTACATATGGCTGCTTGTACAGGGCCTTGTTTAGAGTGAGAAAAAGTGAAACAGCATTATGCAGTATCATAAAAAATGTAAAAAATATGATTTCATATTTGTTCTGGGAGAGGAAAACCGATAAGACGACTTAATCCTTATGTTGAACCACAGCATTTGGTTATCTGTCTATGCTGTGTATTGGAATAGTTGAGCAATAAATTGATCTATATCAGGGGTGGCAATTACTTTTCTGAATGGGCCAGTACAGATAATAGGACAGTTTCTTTACAACAGCTAGGCTAACGTTTATACTTTATATAATAATGATAAGCACAATGTCACGATCAGGGTCATTATGAAGTTGATAAAAACTATAGTCATAATTATAGCAGAGACAAGTGGGCCGAGTGAAATACTTAGATGTACGTTCGTAGTAAAGGGAACTTTTAATTTCCAGCAGTTAGGTGATCCAACCAATTTCACTCACTCATGTGTTATGTTACAGACAACGTCAGATATGCAAAAATTTAGTCACATTAACAAATATAAGAAATGATTCCATTAAATTTGATATATTCTTCATAGTATATATTTGCTGGTCCTAATCCCTATGGCATTCCACAGCTCTTCATGAGTGCCATAACTTGGATTTTATACATTCCACAATTCTTACATAATATTAGTTTTGATTGGTACATCATAATAGCTTATATTACCCTGTAGCCAATCATAATGAAGATTTAAATTACTGATTATTATCTCACAAATTTGAGTTTTATGGGTGAATAATGAGTTATACCCTGGCCATGCTTGTTGTTCATTGATACTTTTTATGTACCTACACTTGAGGGGGTACTTTAGTTGCGTAGGTTTTAATCATCTCCTGATTGCCACTTATGTATTGTGTCGTGTGCCTGATGTCTGTTAATTATACTACTCTTTGTGGTGACTGAGTTTTTATTTGAATGAAAATTCTTTGAATTACGAAAGTATTAAACGTCAAGTACTTCACTTTGATCATCCGTACTTTGGTACAAAATGTGGACTGATTGATGTTCTTGTATAGATTAGCACAAAGTATTAAACCAAATATTGTCGAAGATTTTTTACATAAAAAATCGCTCTAAGGTTGTGCTCACTCAGAAGTAAAAAATGCTCTGAGAGAGCTATGGGTGACCAATCAAATTCCATCAGCTACTGAAACTATATCTATGACAACTACATGCTACACACTAACAGAGAAGAAAAGTTACTTCTGTAACTGAAATGCATAGAGCTGAAACTATATACAGTTATATCGGTGCGTTTTTTACATGTAAATTCACTCAAATCAAGGCCACATGCATGCTCAGAAATGGGATGAATCTTATCTAACTTCTTTATCTGACTTTCTTTTCTTAACTTATCTTATCTATCTTATCAATTATGCATGCTCTCGATAAACTTGAGGATTCATATATATTTTCACCTGCATTCAGGCAATCGAATCCATTCCTCTAACTTTGTATAAAAATGGAATAATGATGTTCAGTGGACCGTTTCGTTCCTATGCCGACCAAACAACGCAAAGATGTCTTCAAGATATCATGGACGGATACTTTCCTTCTGAACTGCAAGCCAGATACCCTGATGGAGTCCCAATACAGGTGGATATTTTGAGATTTTACATTATTATTGTAATACTTTGTAATTTAAGAGTCTTGCTACACACATCTGAATCTGAAAAAAATAAATAAATAATGTATTGCGATTACCGTATGTCATTGTATAGCAAGACCCTTCTTAGGGTCTTGTATTCTTGTAGCATTCTTGTATTCTGAACATTACTGGCCATGTGTAAACTATGTTTGATTAGAAAGTAAGGTACAGAAATACATTTGTGTTGCAGTGCAGCAAAGCTACTGAATCACTTAAGATAGTTGTTACTTATCGATCTTAGATCGGTAAGTATGTTGATAGGTATTTGTCTGTTTGTCTGTCTGTTAGATGCATGCGATATCTCATGAAGGCGTGGTTGAATCTGCTCCAAATTTTGCATGTGCATTCATCATATCTCGGACCAGAAGCCTATTGATTTTGGATGAACTATGTCGTATAATTAGCGAGTTATCAATCAATTAGTGATGAGACACGCGGTGTCACTATAGAGTCATGAATCAAAACCGCAGTTTCAATCGATAAGTCTTCGGTTTCTGACCGATATTCTCGTTGCTACAGCATCCTTGATTTATACACATACGAATAAAGCTCGTGTAGGGTGTCCATAAGTCTTAAAAAGTTTAGGATTGCAAAGGGTTTTAAACGTTACCATATATTGTTTTGGCCCTCACAGATGTATTAAATCAAGTAAAAATACTTGAACAATTATTGATTAAAAAACAACAAACCTGGTTAAGATATATTGAAAACTGACTTTTTAACAAAATTGAAATTGTTAAGGCACTTTATGGACACTCTTTATATTGAACAAATGGACCTCCTGAAGTATCCATCAAGGTTGTGTATAGTTAACCAGTTAATAGCTCACTTTTTTATATAAAGGTTACAGACAAGCGATTTGTGACATTCCAAGACCCACGATTACTTGAAGAGTTTCCCGGCGTTGGATTTTTATTGGGTGGAGAAGAACAGCCTTCAAATCTTCTGAATTCCGGTCTGAATATGACATCATCAGCTTCAGTGAGATCATCGATTCCGTCATCAATGTCGAATAATTTCGATAGCACGAGTCCACAACCAGCTGGCGAGGGTTCGATTTTTTTTTGTTTATCAAGAAAGTTATTTTGTATTTTGATTTCTAATTCATATCAGAAGGTGTGATTATTGCCCATGTAGTATTTTTACGTGGAGTACAAGGACGGTATAGGCTTTACATATTCATCCCAGGGGAGAGGAAAGCCATTAAGATGACTTAATCATATGGCGAACCATGATTAGTCCATGATTATTTAGCCAGTTATTTATCTCAGATGCATGGACTTGGTGGTGGAAGAACGATAATCGACCAGCAGTTACATGAACCACCTTAAGTGGCGATCCTACAACGGCGAACAGTCCAGCAATCCTCTTGCACATAATTATCCCTGCATGGGATTCGAACGTCACAGGGTAGACAGGGAAATACACGCTTTGCACGATGCGCCAAGCCGATATGTTCTACACTGCAGGTTCTTTTTCTATAGCTGCACTGCAGATCACTATGTATCAGATACTATAACCATGGTTGAACAATATAGTAAAAAAATGATTAGAATAATTTGAATAGAATAAAATAGCAAGTAGATTATGTTATTCTTGTTATGCACTATAACTTTGTCAACTTTACTGAATTTTTTTCCTTTGTGCTTGTCTTGTGTGTTGTATTCCTCTACCATTGTGAAGTTCAAAATATATTATCCATCTGCAATCTTATCTATTGCCAATTATTTATTCTTAGTTATTAATGACCTCTGCGTTTCTGTGATGCATATTCGCATCCATTTGATGCATAGGGAGTCCATTAAGTCCTAAAATTTTTTAAAATTGCAAAGGGAATTTATCGATACTATAAAAATATGGGGTGTACTAGGGCAGGGCTACTCAACTATTTTTATCGAAGGTCCGCATACAAAAACATACAAAACTTCAAAATTATTTGGGTCCGGTCTTTCCAGAAATGATATTTCGGCATCCTTAAACGAGCACTTCCTCGACCGACTAATGATTAGTAGCAAATTAAAATCGTTCATTATGGTGTAATAGTTCTTTTCATATATATATATACAAAACTATGAAAGTCATTTTATAATAGGAAATTCAAAAAGTGGGGCTAATGATCCAAAATAAATAATTAGGTGCGGTCCAAATCCAATTCGGACCGCGGTCCGCCAGTTGAGTACCCCTGTACAAGGGTACTGTGTTGATTATTCGCTATTTGATTAAGCAATATCTTGTTTTATCTGAAGTGGAAAGAGATTATGTTATTTTTATTTACTATAAAAATACTTGAACAATTACTGATTAAAAACAACAAACCTGGTTGATAAGATATAATGAGAAATGACTTTATGACAAAATGGAAATTGTGAAGGGACTTTATGGACACCCTGTATATTTTGGGTTTGGCTGTTGTAAATGTCTCTCCATTTTCAGTGACCAGTAAATTACCGGGACCTCAGCTTTCATTGGAGCAGTTCATTGGAAAATTGCCCCGAAATGTGATCCGGGATGGAAAGATAATTGATGTCAGGGACTCTATCGCAGATCAACTAACAGGTACAGGAAGTTGCTTTTTTGAGAAAATTTGCTTCCCATGTTGGGCATAGGTAAGAGGTGTGCAACTTTTAATACGAAAGAGCCAAATACAAATAATTGGATGAAAGCGCGGGCGGGCCATTCCTTCCTTTACCACAAGATTTCTAGTAGTTGTAGGCACAGAAGTTTTGGTTATTGATCTCATGGCATGCGTTGTTCGTTTCACAAGCTAGCTGCTACATTGTGACGTCATAGGCACAGATAATAAATTGGACTCAGGTATAGGATTCACAAGACGTTCAAAATTAGCACTTCTCTGCGGGCCACACAATTTTTTCTTGTGGGCCGCATTTGGCCCTCGTGCCATCGGTTGCACACCTCCAAAATAGGTTATCAGGTATTTGTCTTATGTCCATGATTTATCATTCTTGACATTCACCTTTATTATTTTCAGCAAGTCACACGAGTTCAAGTTCAGCAGAGGTTATTGAAACCCAAGTTGTGCAAGAAATGCAACAAAGGTAAGAAGTTAAGATGAAATGCTACTTGAAACATTTAACAACTGACACTTTTAAAAGGGTTGAAGTACGGTGAAATGCCATTTAAACAATTTACGGCTGACGTTTTTTATAAGTTATCTGTAGTTAAATCTAACTATATAAATTTCAGATGCAAGAACCCAATTTGATACGCTTTGATTGAGGGTGGACACAGGTTATGAACCCAAGATTTAAATAAACGCCAACTAGGGGTAAGATCGGGCCCAAAAATTCAACCGGGCCCGTGGGTATTGGACCTGACCCAAGCCGACTAATTAACTGGATTTGCAGGCCCGAGCCCGAAACAAACCTGAAATTCCATATTTTATTTAGAGGATCTTTGAATTCCACACATAGTTATAGGATATAATTTTTATAAACATATATTTATTTAAAAAAAAAGTAAGTCAGCAACAGAGAAGCCCCGAACGTAATGATTTACATTTCAGGCCCGACCCCGGCCCGAATTCCGGGTTGGGCTCGGGCTTCAGTTTTTAGCTCTAGCGCCAACATAGGTCCAACTCGTCAATCACCACAATATTTTAATCAAGAAATTTTACATTTCAGGATGAATCTGCCTGAAAATCAGAGGCCGCCAACAGCTCGAAATGTGGCAACACTGAGAATCAAATCAGAGGACGGTGACAAGACTTTGCTCATTAAAATGAAGTTTCATGAAACGATTGGAGATTTAAGAAATTATATAAACAAACAAAGGTTGGTAATTGGACACGATGTGTATATATAGATTCTTCAGTTAAATTGATGTTCTTGTTGCGATAGGATTCACATAATAATTTCGGGGGTGAGTGAACCCAATAAGACGGCTTAAAATATGGTGAGTCATGGCCTCTCATCCAGTTACCAGTCCATGTCACGTATGGGATTAGTTGGCTAGTTAATTGTTTAATAAGGCATGTACTTGATGGTGGAGGAAGCCGTAACCGAACTAGTGTTACGTGAACCACCCTATGACGGCGAGGAGTCAGGCAAATCTTCTCACATATAAAATCCCTGCATAAGATTCGAACCTGCCAACCCACGCAGAGTAATCAGAGGTGCGGTGGGGAGCATATTCTTTATGCTTAGCATGATGCACCACACCGGGTTGCTAAAGGCTGTTGTTTTTTCTGCACAACTGATGGACCAATTGATTCAAATTTTCAGTACTTGAAAGTTGAAGTCACTAAAATACTGTTACTTTCACTAAAACTCTTTCATAAGAGAATTGCCAAAGATAGGATCACTCAAGAGCAGTGTTGGAAAAATTTGACACCATTTATCAAAGGATAGGATTTACATATTTATCCCGAGGGAGAGGAAAGCCGATAAGGCAGCTTTCCTAATATTGTTAACCTTGGCTGGGTATATGATTAGTAAGCCAGTTATTTGTTTCAAATGCTTGAACTTATTGGTGAAGGAAGCCGTAACCAACCAACCTATAGCAGGAAGAGTCGAGCAATCCACATAATTATCTCCCGTGAAAATAATCATAGATCAATGCGCCACACCGCCGAGCTTGACTTGAAGTGACTTGTTTATCAAAGACTTATTACTTATCGATCTCTAGATCGGTAAGTATGTTGATAGGTATTTGTCCGTAAGATGCACGCGATATCTCACGAAGGCGTGGTTGAATCTGCTCCAAATTTTGCATGTGCATTCATCATATCTCGGACCAGAAGCCTATTGATTTTGGATGAATTATGTTGTATAATTAATTAATTAGTGATGGGACATGTGGTGTAACTATAGAGCCATGAATCGAAACCGCAGTTTCGATCGATAAGTCTTCGGTCTCCGACCAATATTCTCGTTATTATCTATCAAAATGAGTTGCTGTCATACACAACAAACTGCCAGTGTTGAGTCACTCATTGGCACAAACTTGGACCCAAGATTCAGATGACTGGCCCTTGGGTTAACTTTTCTACCAGTGAGCTTTATATACTATTAGTTGCAGCTTTGCTTTGAGCAACATTATAATATATATTTATTAATCTCTCAATTTTGACAGGCATCAACGAATGTCACCATACAACATCATATCAACGTTTCCATCTAAAACGTATTCAGACGATTCAAAAACTCTTCAGGAGTGCGCGGACTGGTACCTAACGCCACCCTTGTGTCTACAGAACATGAAAAGTTCCAACTCTGAGAAAAATAAATGAATGTTTCATTCGATAATTGCTCAATGAAAATCGAGTGAGACTACAGCTCAATTATTTTCTGCAGTTCAAACTTTAATAGATAGATGTTCACTTGTTCTTAACTCCAGAAAAATTTCTGAACTTATCATTTCAGAATTTTAGGATAGGATTTACATGTTTATCTCGGGGAGAGGAAAGCCAATTAAGACAGTTTTAAATCATATGGCTAATCATGGTTTCTCGTCCGGTTACCAGTCATGTCGGGTATCGATAGTAGCCAGTAATTTTCAGATGCATGGACTTAATGGTGGAGGAAGCAGTAACCGACAAGCGTTTACGTGAACCATCCTACGACAGCGAGGTGCCCGGCAATCCTCTCGCACATGATCATCCCAGCATAGGATACACACCTACAAACCCACGCAGTGTAATCACAGGTGACTAGCTCATAAACTAATATCATGAGCATTATTTTGATTCAAGATATGTAACCAGATGCCATTTAAAAGATCTGATATATTGCAACTTGGTCTTCATGGGGACTATGTTTTGATCACTGCAAGTAAACTACAACTCATCAGAAAAGAAAACGACCATTGAGATATTTTGATTCAAACCTAATTTTTTCAAACACAAGTAGAAACTGACAAATAGCTAACCAAAACAAGCTGAAGTTATATACTAGAAGAAAAAACTTTCTTCAATGAACACAATAGAGTGATATGCCGAACATTTAAAGTGAAAAAGTATAGAGCAATATATTCTAAACTTCCAATCATCACTTTTGACATCTTGCTAATCAGCCATTGTTATGGGAGTAAACAAGGAAGACTATACTCAAGTAAACATCCATTAATACTGAAAATTGCATTTTGATCTTTGACCTCGTATTCAAAAGGTAAAAGGTTTTTAATTCTTTTTTTTTAAATAAGTTCAGTGAGCAAATTTTTATTGATGTTGTATATTTTAAAAGAAGCTTTTTGTAGATGTGCAATTTGTATTGTTGTTTTGTATAATAGCGGAAACTACCACTGTACAATTTATCTGTTTCTTATGTTATTGAGCAAGGCTACGGGGTCAAAGTTTGGCGTGTTTCCGTATTTTCAAAGTTAATGTGTGATTCAAAATTTGAGATTGTCAATGGTGAAATAAGTCGAATTTTTTACAATTGACGGTGACTCTTGAAAACTGCGTGCTAACAAAAATATTTTGGTGAAAAAATGTGATTTTTTTGAGTTCCGAGCTGGAATCTGGAATAATATTTTTCCAGCACGAGAGTCATGTAAACGTATCATGTTTTACGGACCAGAAGGCATGCCCAAATTAATTTTTCAAATCGATTGAGCGCCTAATAGGCATGTGCGCCTCATGTATGGATCAGGTAGTAATTTACACTTAAAATCAGTAACAGGTGCGCCCAATGTACGAAGAAAGTCCCAATCTAGACAATTAATTGACGGTGGGCCTTATGGTCCTAAAAATCAGTAATGTCAAATTTTCTGCCTGACTTTTGACCCCCCCACCCCTCGATGATTTTTAAAACAAACATGCCAGATTCCACAACCCGACCTAGTCTATCCTATATGCTCAACCAATCCATATTGTAAATGAAACGCACTTTATGTCTCAAATTTCTGTCTTCTTATATGTTACCTACTGTTCAATAGTATTAGTGCATTTTTTATGTTTAGATTCAATAAATTGTTTCATGGTATGCCGATTCTGTGAAAGCTTTAGTATCGGGAAAAATGAATGTAATTTCTGGATTGTATCTGGGAGGATGGTATACTATAGAACAGGAAGGCAAATCACTGACCCGTGGGTTAAAGGCACGAATGAAATAAAAACATTCTAACACATAAGTCAGGGTGGTCCAAACCCAGGCCCGCGGGCCCCATGTGGCCCGCAGCGTCATTATCTTGTTACATCACTAATGTCACTGAATTGACTAGTGTCACGGCTAGCTGAAGCAACTAGCGAAGTTGAACAGTGTGCTTGGGTAGTCCAAATTGTTCACTGGCTTTCTATCTTTTTGGTTGGTAATATTAATATATTCTAACAGTTATAATAACTAAATATTGATGTTATGGCCTGAGAATATAATTCCTTCCGGCGATTTTTTGCAGCCAGCCTGAACAGTATTACAAAAAATGCTTCTAATATTTCAGAAAAATTAGTAATTACTCTCCTGTACCTTACATTTGGTAAAATATGATAATCAATCATTCAGCAGTTATAAAACGGCATTTTGTTTGCCCGTTATGAAGAGTTTAAATTCTTACATTAAATGTAGATATAGCAAAACTTTTGCATGTTTCAGTGATTTTTCTGGCGTATTTTGCATGTTTTAGCTAGAAAAATAACAAAACAATGATCAATTGTTTGCACAATAAAAGTGTTATTTTTGTATTGCCCTGTTTACCTATTTATGGCACTATTGTGGCCCGCAAACAATGCAAAAATAATTTTGTGGCCCGCGAAGTCGACAAACTTGAACCACCCTGATATAAGTGATAAAACTGTCTCTAATTGAATTTAATAATAAGTAAACTGGTAAAATGTATCGTCAGTTGGAAAGCCAGGCCTCCTAACGATCAAATTTGAGTTTTAATTTCCGGGTAGTTAGGGTTAATTTCAAAACTCCCAATCTTGGACGCGTGTGTTCATACCTGTATAAAGTTATGCACTTATTGGCTGTGACATCGTATATGACAAAAAAATTGATCATTTCATTTCTCGCAACGTTTTATTACAGCGTTCCCTTTCGGAAGTGGATGAACCAAAAGGCACTGCAGACCGCTATTAGGGGGTATACAAAAACTAAATGCTACTTTGCATTTGATTAGTTTCTCGCTTACAATGCCGTCGAAAAAAAAAATCTTTTAAGACTTAAAATAAAGACCTAAAAATCTGAAATAACAATGGGGCAGTGTAGAAGTGCGTTAATGTAGTTGGAAGCCGATCGAAGAATTTTCTCCAAACTCTTTAGCAGATAATCCTAAACGCCTTTGGGTAATTATATGCGAGTTTTTGTACACAAATTTCGTAAAATCGAGCGCCATAAAAGAGTCTAGGACTAGGTGATGCATGAATAAAGCACAAAACTACACAACGCCAACCGAAGCTTATAAGATTTGGAAGATAGGATGAAGCAGCAAGTTTCTCATAAATTCAAACATTGATTAAATATCTGTGACCCACACTCTCTCACCGTTCCGTGATAAAAATATAATTTCTTGACCCATTCATTGAAAAAAGTTCGCCATCTCTGCTATAGGACACAGGTCAGAAACCTTTTAGCATTGAAAAAGTCATTTGGCATCCTTCCAATCAAACTTAAACCTACCCAGAGACGCAACAAATACTCCAGTGTCAGTGGCTACTAAAACTCCTAAAAAACCACTTATGATTAGCTCGAAAGAGCAGTAGCAATCTTTATTCAAGAGTAGAAACACTCAAATTAAAAACAGACAGTTTTGTGAAGGCAGCTAATTTTCAGAACTGTAGAAATAGATGTTTCCAATTAATACATAGACATGTCATGCATAGAGCACAATCCCCAGCAGTTAGGGCTTCCTCAACCATAAGATCCATGGTTCTCAAAACAAATAACCGGCTAACCAATACCATACCCGACCTGGTAACCAGATGAGAGGTCGTGGTTCGCCATATGGTTAAGCAGTTATCGGCTTTCCTCTACTCATGATAAATATGAAAACCTGACAAAACTCAAAATTGACAGTGATTTTTGGACACGAAGTGGACATAACAATCGTTTCAAAATTTTATTGTTATTTGTCTCCGTCTCCATTTTTAAAAAATCGCTTTTCTCTTCGAATACTTGACCAATTGCTTTGAAATTTTCAGTGGTTAAAGATAAAATTTTTCTCCAGAAGGCTATTACTTTTTTTTTCGCTATGACGTCATCAACATTATTCCCACTGGGTGGCGCTACGTGTCCATATATTTGAGCATAGCTCTCTTGTTGCTAATAGCAATTCTTTGAGCCTCTACTTCGAAGCGAAAAAAATAGGCATAAAAATTGTAAGACACCGATGATAAGCTATTAGCATAAATTCAACATTCAAATACATTTGATCTCAAATATAAACGACAGTGCAATATTTAGAAAAATGTTTTAGGAATGGGGTATACGTTTTTGAAAATAACTGCAAACCATTATCAATGAGTTTTGATATGTATAGCCAGTTTGAGTGTGACCATTTTCTGTTAGTGACTTGATATATAACAATCCGTAAACACTAAAATACATGCACATTTACATTGCATATGATTTCACATAACTTGTTTTTAACAAGCCATGTAAGTTAACATGTGTGTTCATATCACATATCCTCTACTAGAGTTCACATATTATGTGCTCTCGTGTCACAATATATATTTTCTTAGTACATAAGTGTTCACATATCTTCACTTTAAGTCCATGTGTTCACACAACCGAAATCTCCAACTTCACAAAACCACACATAATGTGTTCACATCACATATTCTCCACACTCCACCCCATATCTTCACATTAAGTCCATATGTGTTCACAAAACAAATATCCCCCACTTAACAAAACCACACATATATGTGTTCACATCACATATCCTCCACACTCCACCCCATATCTTCACATTAAGCCCATATTATGTGTTCACAAAACAAATATCCCCCACTTTACAAAACCACACATAATGCGTTCACATCACATAACCTCCACACTCCCCCATATCTTCACATTAAGTCCACATGTGTTCACGAAAAAGATATCCCCCACCTAACAAAACCACACATATATGTGTTCACATCACATATCCTCCACACTCCACATATAAGCTTCCTGCTTATGTGCACTTCTTTCTGATTGGTTCATGTAGTATTTCTTCTCAAATCCACTCGACCTGTCCACACCGTCCCATCTGTATCCCGGCTGAATATTATATCGGTTTGGTGGAGGAGCTGGTCCTCTGTACTTAGGTAAACCTAAAAAGAGAAAGAAGAGTAATAGCTTGTTAGCTGCTTCAACCAAAAATGGAAATTTAGAATTGATTGGTCTATAACAATGGTTCCCAAACCATGGCCTGTACCCTGCCGAACCTAAGTGAGAAAGTTTAATACTTTCTCTTTTTGCCTTCTAGATTCCATCAATTGTTATGTCATTATCACATTTCAAACATGTGTTTATTCGTAACAATTCAATTCTAATCGGTATCTTAATTGTTCGTATCGGTATGAGGATAACATACATACAAGTCGCACCGATGCAAGCGCTCCCCTCTCCCGGCCTGCAAATATCCTCTCCCTTTTAATTTTGGGCCCCAGTCAATCAACTTTGGGAACCACTTGGTCCACCGGTATTTATTCCAGGGGAAAGAAGAGCTAATAAGAGAGCTTAATCCTATGGCGAACCACGGCCTCTCGTATGGTTACCTGTCCATGTCACGTATGGAATTAGTTAGCCAGTTGCTTGTTGGACACAGTTAGTGGCCATAACGATAGTTTCAAAATTTTGTTGTTATTGTTATTGTTATTTGTCTCAGTCTCCATTTTTAAAAAATCGCTTTTCTTTTCGAATACTGGACCAATTGCTTTGATATTTTCAGTGGTTAAAGACTAAAGTGGTTAAAAATTTTTCTCCAGAAGGCTATTACTTTTTTTTTTCGCTATGACGTCATCAAAATTATTGCCACTGGGTGGCGCTACGTGTTCATATATTTGAGCATAGCTCTCTTGTTTTCAGATGTACAGACTTCATGGTGGAGGAAGCTGTTACTGTCCAGCGCTTAGATAAACACTGTAAAGAAATAAAAATAGGTCATATAAAAATTCAGGTACATACTCGGTTTATCCCCCATTTCTTTATTCTTCTTTTTAGCCATGTATGCAGCCATTGGATCCCCGTCTCGTACTTGGGAACGTTGTAAAGCATCTAAGTCTGCGTCATCTCGATATCTTGCAAGTGGTTTGTTGGACTCGTGTAATAAATCCTCCAGTGCGTAATTCTTCATTTCATCTTGTTTCATACTGAAAACACAGGAAAAATTGTTTTGTGCCGAGAAACGTGGAATTTTTTTCATTTTATACAAGTGTGCGGAAAGTCCCACAGACATGTTAAAAACTTCATCAAAGTTTGGTCGGAGCAATTAAAATCGGAAAGAGTACTGATATGAACCTGATAGGATTGCAAACAATCACTGACATGCTAAGATATATAGCAGGGGTGAGATTTAGGAACCTGGGCCCACCTATACTTTAACTTAGTAAGTATGACATGAAAAGTATTATGAACAATATTTACATTGTTACAACAGTAAAAGCAAAAAACAATGAGACTCGTGACAAAACTGAATGTAATCGCAACCGCAAGAAATTACTTGAGCTATTTTTAGTTAAAACATCGAAATTTTGTTTCAGTTTGGTTGTGGTAGCATCAGGCGGTTCAGATTGAATTACCCAATGGGCCGGATTTGACCCGTCGGCCGTAATTTTCCCAGGTCAGACATATAGGCAAAATATATATAAATTTTTTATATAAGTCTTGTCACAGAAAGGCCTTGAGCTCTTAACTGAAAGTTAGGAATCTAAGGCCCATCCCTGCAACCGCACCTATGGTTCAATAAATTGTGTAGCCAGGGGTTCTCAACCTTTTAGTGTTATAGGCCTGTGAAAAGGTTGACTAGTATTTACGAAGCCACACAATAAATTAAAAAAAAAAAAAAAAAAAAACACATTTTTATTATAAAGTCCCCCATTAAAGTTCCTGAGAAAACTAAAATTACTTTATTCAATGACTCGAATGTATTTGCAGCTTTGTATTTAAAAATAATCAGTATTCTAATAAGTGAACGAATGTCTCGCGAAGACCCTAGGTTTCTCTCACGAAGCCCAGGGGCTCCATATGAAGCACTTCGAAAACCTATGGTGTAGGCCAGAGATTCACAACCAGGGGCCCTCAACACTCTGAGAGGGCCACAGAGCAGTTTGAGGGGGGGGGGGGGCTGGGTGCATAACAGATTTTACTTTTCACTTCACAAGAATACTCCCCGTTCTTCTTAGTTTCATTGCCTGATAACGTTATTTCACCGGATGCTTTCACTTTGTTGAGCATGAATTGTTTGAACATAATGGGATTCGGAATCTTTCAATCAAATTAACACTATAAATACCTCTGGAATGATAAACAGGGGGCCATGAGTGCTAAAAGCCCCTAAAAGGGGGCCACAAGCCATAAAATGCCAGGGATCACTGGTTTAGGTATCAGGCGCTTTCCAGAGCTTAGTTCAGTGTCAAATAAATCATTTTTATTTCCTCACCCTTTCCCCCATTTATCATGCTCACCTATCCATAAATAACACTGGGATGATAAACAGGGGTGGGGGCATGAGTTGAGAAAGCCTCCGGAAGGGTGCCATGAACCATAAAAGTTTGGGAACCACTAGGATATATATTGTTTATCACGGGGACGGGGAAGTGTCAAATCATATAATTTTTTAAATCCTCACCCTTTCCCCCATTTATCATATTTATCCATCCTTTTCTGCTTTTCTTTTTCATCCTCTTCCTGTTCTTTTCTTTCTTTCGTCAAATCCCTCTTCTTTCCTCCCTTTTCACGATAAACAGTCGCTGAATAAGACAGAAAAAAACATTAAAATTATAACTACAATTTATTCTTAATTTGTCAAACAAAATAAAACATTTTTAAGAAACGATGCTTTATGTCAGAGGTGTGCAACCAAATCATTCCTACCCTTTTTGATCATTTGCATATTTCACTACTTTCCAGAGTTCGTAATAAATGTGCAGTACCAATTGAATGGTGTGCTACCCACAAAATGAGTTTTTAATTTAGTTCCAATCCCTTTGCTAACTAAATTAAAAACTCATTTTGTGGGTAGCACACCATTCAAAATTGGTACTGCTTCACGGGCCTCACATTTATTACGAACTCTGGAAAGTACCAATTTTCAATGGTGTGCTACCCACAAAATGCTTTTTTAATTTAGTTCCAATCCCTTTGCGTTGCAAAAACCCGAGTCCGATTATTATCTATGCTTATGTCGTTACAATTACAACAGCTGGCTAGTGCGAAACGAATGTAATAAGATCAATATTGAAAATTTTTGTGCCTGCAGCTACTAGGAAGCCTATGTTAAATAAAAGTACGGCCCACGATTTCACTCTCTTATTCGTATCTGTCCTTCCTGTAATAAAAGTTGCACGCCCCTCGCTTTTGACATTAGATCTCTTAGCTGGTAACCGGGATATAAGACCATGATTTGCCACATGATTAAGTTTGGTGTGTCAGGGGCTTTAGATAAGTTTTTCACTAGGACAGAAACTTCAGTAGAAAACGATTGACATCAGACAGTGATAAAGAAAGGGATAGATAAAGATAAGAAAAATATGGTAGGGGATATATAGATAAGAGGGTACTTCGTGTACCAGTTTAGGGTTAGGCTATCATTTATTCTGATTTATTTTATTTTAGTTTTATTACGAGTTCGGGGATTGTCCATGTTAGCCAAGTGAATATACCCCCGCCCATGTGTTCCAGTTCCTTTACACAACTTTATGCAAAGTAGGCGAACAAAATTAGTAACACTTCTAGTGCGCCGAAAAGAGATATAGAGGATAAAAATAAAATCAATAAAGATAAGAACAATAGATATCGACAAAGAATCTCTCATCTAACCATTAGTTCTAGTGTCTCTTGCAAGCTTATCAATATCAGAATCCTTTTTTCTTCGTTCTTCAATTTCTTTTTTCAATTCATGGCGACTCGTCAGCCCTCCAGTCCCACCGCTTGACATTTGTGCCTGCAAGTGGATAGAATTATTCAAAAATATTCGATTTCACTCTTCATGAAGATTTATACAAGGGATGGGCAAACTATAGCCCACATGTAGCATGCGGACCGCCAAAGCACTTTTATGTGGGCCTGCTTCTCATGTAGAGAGTTGTGAAAACTAAACGTTATTAAAAATAACTAGACAGTGCTTTGTTAAAATAATAATAATGTATTTTTTAATCTCTGGTTCAACAACGCCAACCACCATAGAATGCAACATTATTATGGCGAATGGGAATGGATGTGTTCCACATGGAACCCCAGCGCTCTTTGGAAGAAACCTAGGGGCTCCACGAGCTATTCATTGAAATAATGAATACTTTCAAAAATCAGCATAAAGTAAAGCATCAAAAAATTCGAGTCATTAATTAGGCTAACATAATTTTAGTTTACTTGGGACACTAAATGGCGAGTAGGCTAACAATGTGTTTCTCTGTTTTTATTTTATAAATTTATTGTGAGGCTCAGTGAATGAAAGTCAATCTTTTCACAGTCTCTGTCATGCCAAAAGTTTGAGAAACTCAGGCACACACAATGCCAAACAGGAAAGAATACGGTTCTTCCAAAATCAAATAGAATAGCTCCTTATCTCCTCCAGTGGCTGCTCATATGAGGCCTTGTTCATAAAATAGTACATAAAAAATAAGAATAAATTAATCAATAATGAATGTGGACAGTATACGATCCCATAAAGAGCATGTATTTCTTTGCAACACTTCCAAATCATTTTTTTTAATAAAGTTCGCTCTTTGCTCTTGAAAACCTCGATATAATAAATTGCACTCACTCTTTTTTTCTGGCTGTCAGAAGCACCTTTATCTTTTTGCCGAGGAATTTCTAAATCAGAATCTGAGTCATTACGTGATTTCCTAGGACGAGGCAAATCCATATCAGAGTCAGAGTCATTTCTTTTGACCTGAGATTAGAAAAACAAGAGATAAACGTTGAGATATGCAAACACAAAGTACATATGCAACAGTGACGTAAAGCCTATGTAGTGGTTCCCAAACCGCGGCCTGTGGGCGAACTACAGCTTGCGTAACGTCTTTTTGTGATCTAGATACCATCAATTGTTACGTCATTATCACAGTTTAGGCGCATGGATATTCGTAACATTTCAATTATACCGATATCTCGGCCATCCCACTTCTAATCAATTTTGGGAACCACTGGTCTAAATGCACAAAGTTTGCTAAGAAAATCAGGGGAGTACAAATAAAGTCAAAATGGAACCCACAATTTTTTGAAATTTGATGCGAAATAAAGAATTTCTCTTCTTTAATATTTGATTAAATTACATCCCATAGGAATTGGAAAAATAAAATTCTACCAGTACCTCCTATTTTCCATAAGTATTAAAAATTTGTAATTGAAAAGGCCATTTTTATCCTACAAAAATTTAGAAAATGATACACATGTACAGTGTTCACTATTAGTGCAAAATCGCCATTTCATCATATTTGAAGAAAAAATCTTAAAGTTGACAAATTATTTGCATGCGATTAATTTTCTAACCCAATTTTGCATTGCATTACAATATTTGTTAGGCCATTCTCCTCAAGCATTAGCAAAACGATACACATGTATACCAGTAATATAGAAGTATACGACTGTAAACATTCCTACCTGTTTACGACCTTCATTTGACCTTAAGATTGACTGTTTTGACCTTGGGATATTTAAATCCGAATCTGAAGAAGAATCATGCCTGCTATTCCCAGATTTGTTTTTTTGATTAGATTTTCTAGATGATGGACTGTGATTATTACGTTTTTGAGTCTTAGAACGTGGAATTTCCAAATCTGAGTCACTTTCATGTCGAGACCGGCGGTGATTGGAGTCTCTTTTTTGTGATGATTTAGATCTTTTTACGTCTAAATCAGAGTCGGAATCATGACGTGACCTTTGATTGTTAGAATTACTGTTTTGTCCATTTCTATCTGTATTTCTATTTGATTTAGAACTCGATCTTCGAATTTCTAAATCAGAATCGTGCCTTGACCTATGACCTTTGTGTGAATGTTTTCCTGATCTAGAGTCAGTTAAATATGATGAGTCATGTTTTCTTCTAAAAGTATTTTCTGCTCTGTCATGCTTTTTAGTCCTTATGTCCAAGTCACTATCGGAATCATTATGTTTAGTCCTTTTAGAAATTTTAGATCCCCTTGGTGGGGCTGTATCGTCGCCACTAGTAGAGTCATGCCTTTTTCGTGATTTAGCCTCTGATTTCCTCGGGATTTCTATATCGCTGTCCGAATCGTGTCTGGAATTATTTGATTGCTTTTTCCGAGGGATGTCATCAAAATCACTACTAGAATCTTCTATCACAATCTGTAAAAAAATTGGAATTTTCAATTTTTTATTTTAAAAGAAGTAATATCAAACACTATAAGAGAGAGATTTATGAGACTAAAATTCCAAAAGCCACTTAAACTATATAAAATTCAGTTATCAAAATTGATAGTACCAAGTTAGGGTTAGGCCAGAATTTGATTCCGTTTTTTTTTTTTTTTAGTTCTATTACGAGTTCGATGACTAGTAGGTTTCAGTCCCTTTACACAACATGATGTAAAGTAGGTGAACAAAATTAGTCACCTCCATATTAGTACACACACTTCTGGATCGTCAAAATTGCGTTGTCAATTGAAACAAAGCAAGAGATATCATACTTATTAACAAATAAGAAATAGGCAATCATTTGACATGTTTTTAATGGAGACTTGCATAAGTTCAGATGTGGAATCTGATTCAAAAATTTTGAATCAACTCGGAGTTGATTGTAAACTTATGCCGATTCAACAGCCCTGGTGAAATCTCATACGAGAATGAAAATCGGGGAAACTTGAAAACAAGGTAGCCTACTCGCGAAGTGTGTGAACCAAGATGGCGGACACCGGAACATAGTATGTGTACCCGATTAGGGTTACGCCATAATTTCAGGTACAAATACTACGGTACCGGTAGTCACTTGGCTAGTTCCCGAACTCGTAATAGAACTAAAATGGGAAAAAATGGGATAAAATTATGGCCTACCCATATTCTGGTATACATACTACATTAAAGTATCCGACATCTTGGTTCACATACTTCGGGAGTACCGAAAATGAAGCATTACGCAGTATAAACCTTATTTTCATCGCTGTCTTCCTTCAACGTTTTCCATTTACTGCTCTTCCTATACGCATCAAGTTCCTTCTCAGATTTTGTTCTGTTGTCGATAACTTCAACTTGAGGTTTCTCTTCCTGTGTCTGAGAAGATAAAAAGGTCATAGGTCAGTGCTTCCAATACTTTCATGATCCATTCTATCTTCCAACGACTGTAACATTTTTTGGTCCTGCTTTTCTATGAAAATACCTTGCTGTTAAGGAGTTTTCATGATGTATTCAATGCACCATGTTTAATATTAATAAAAAGCCAAAGTAAACGACTATTTTAACCACTGAAAGTACCAAAGCAATAGGTCACTTGTTGAGTAAGAGGAGCAATTTTTATCATAAGGTAACAAGAAAAAGAACAAAAACAACAACTTAATTAATACCAAAATGATCTATAGGTCCAATTCATGTCAAATAAGCTAGGAGAGAAAATAGTAGATAAGATTACACAAACTAGGCCAATGTGGACTTGTGGTTAAAGCATTAGACTCAACTATAATGGCATCCAGAAACCTTGATTGAATAAAATATGTATAACGTACCAGTAAAGCATCAGGGAAATCCCCCTCCTCATCTTTTGGTCCGATATTTTTCCATGAAACATCGTCATCGACTATTTTCATACCCCTTCCTCTGAAAATAATATAATAAAAAATAAAATGACAGGGCTCGTGGGTGGGATGCACACATACTCTGTGTTGGTCCGAAAGCTGATGAAATACTTATGTGCAAGAACTCCTCATTGACACATACCGTCAAAATCCATATATTTAGGGTGTCAATAAAGTATTATAATTTTCATAAACTGTAGAGAGAATTTATCGATACCATATATTGTTTTGGCCCTCACAGATGTATTGAATGAAGTGAAAATACTTGAAAATTACTGATCAAAAAACAATAAACCTGGTAATGCTATATTGAGACTGACTTCATAACAAAATTGGAATTGTAAACGAACTTATGGACACCCTGTACAACAAATAAGGCATGTGAAGAACTCAGCTTGTCAGAAAAAACTCTTAATAATATCTTTCCTCTCCCATGAGATAAATGTGCTAAGCACTAGTACAGAGAGAAACTCAAGTAAATCGATACAAAAAACAGAATGTAAGCCGAGATATAATAAACAGGGTAGGCCACATAACCCACGTTGAGCTGGAAAGATCCCAGTCACACCATAGAGAAACTGAAGATTACTATGTACAAAGGTATGGCTAATATAGTTGTGAAGTTCATACATATAAAACAGTCATCGGCACTGCGATACTACTCGGCCAAATATGCCTATTGACGGCAGGGTGTGAGCTGCATTAATTTCCACCTATGAACAACCGCCACATTAAACTTCGAATTATGACGTGACCGCAACTTCTATTTGTGTTAATTACAAACTAACGAGTAGGTACTCATTCAGGAAACAGTCAAAATTCCCCAATACGTTCGCTAACGCTAATTACTGCAAAACAACCACCGCACAACAGACATTGTTTCGACATACATCCGCCCACAGATAACTATAAATTTCTGAGCAATTTTTGGTTTTATGCATTAAAAGTGAAGTTCGAGGGCCACAAAAAATCTCTTCACGTATCGCGGTTTGCGCTAACTCGCCATAAATTAACTAAATCTTGTCAGTTTTCTCCTCATGACAGATGAAAAACAACATCACTCACTGTCTGACTTTTCCCCCTTTTTTCTTTTTCCGTTTCTTATAGTCGCCACTTTCAACAGGGGCAAGATATTTCTTCAAGTATTCCTCCCGGCTGAGTGAAGTCATTTTATATCTATGTCTATGCCTGGAAATCAATGAATTTTATAAAAAATTTTGATACAAATAAACAGCATACAAATTGAAAAAAAGTCTTGTAAAATTGGTGGGACAAAATGCACTCGTATAATGTAATATAGCGGTGAGTGTTTGCATTATTAAATCTTTATTTTATGGCATTTTTTTTACATTTGCTTGAAGAAAAGCTAGGCCACGCAAACTCACTCAAAAGTAAAGCAGAATCATCAATAGAGACAGATTTCTGAGCAAAATTACAACTGAATTCCGGGAGTTACTGAAACTACAGGGAATCATGTTGGTGGGTGCATTATGTACCATTACCTGCTAAACAACTTAACTAAATTGATACCAATTCTATGTTATTCCTCGATATTTCCATGCTGGTAGACCCGTATGGCAATGATACAAGAATGCTGCAGGAATAGTAAATATGAAAATTCTATGTGATTTAATAAATTTCTTGCTGCAAACTAACATGAATGTATTTATGCAGTGTATCATCATCTCAGCAAAGATAAACTTCTCCACACAACCCCGAGTTCAATATAATTTATAAAAATACTTTCGTGTTAGTTTCAGCAAGACATCTAAACCTCTAACAATCAAAAATAGGCAAAATATGAAATATATACAATGTACAGGGTGTCCAAAAAGTTTCGCCCGATTATAAAGTCTTTATAATCAAATGCTATTTTTTTTAATTTAAAAAAATATTTATAGTCAACCTGTTTCTAATTGGATGTTATATATGTTAAATGTTGTAGTCCCTATTTATCATACAACCAAATTTATTCAAATTTGCAATTGGTAATGCTATGAAATCGGGCGGAACTTTTTGGGCACCCCGTATTATAATCTCAATGGCAAAAGAAGTTCACAAGGGGCTCCCGAAGTATGCGAACCAAGATGGCGGACATCGGAATGTAATATGTGTACTAGGTTAGGGTTAGGCCATAATTTTAGGTATAAATACTACGGGAGGCTCTTGGCTAGTCTTCGAACTGATAATAGAACTAAAATAAGGAAAATTGGAAAAAAATTATCGCCTAACCCTAACCTGTTACCCATGTTACGTTCCGATGTCCGCCATCTTGGTTCGCATACTTCGGGAGCCCCGTTCACAAATTAGAAACAAATTAATTAGATAGTGAAACAATATAGAATACCATGACTTTCCACAAATAATACACAACTAATTTCAATAGAATTATATGCTGAAATGTACCTGAATATTATGCAAGGAGAAATCTGGCAACTAGAGGTAGAATGGGTTATGAGCAGATAAGTATTCTAGAATTCCTATCTAGCAGGGATCATGGTCCAATTACTTTTTAAATGTAAGTTTTTTAAATTATTGGACACTAAATGGGCCCAAGTGGAACGTTTTGGTAATAAGTTGTTGTTAATCTTGTTGGTATTTTTTTTTATGTTATGAAAAAAATTTCTCAATATTTCGAGTACGGTATTTTGGAATGTGTTTAAAATAATCACCATAAGTTTCGGTACTCCGACACCAATCCAGAACGAATTTATTCGACTACCAAGGTATCACTATATAATTCAACACTACTTTTCAACGATTCTAGCTTTTTTTTAAACCTCAAAACTATAACACAAGTTACACAACATACACAAAGTCAACATTTCATTAAATTCATCCTATTTATTAGGTTTAAATTTTGCTGCTTCAGATCCATTTATCTTTGCAGCTAAGAAATCTGGGATGAGATTTATGAAAAGCTTAAACACATTATGTCCAAAGAATCCTGTATTTGTGTGAGACGATTTTCCCAGTGATTTGACAACATGTTTTCCGTACAACTCTGAAACCGGGATCAACAAATTTGGTTTTAAGTCAGTGTATGTTAATGCCATTGGTGTGACTGTCAAACCTGGAGCAATGAGTTGAAAAATTATTCCTTTGTTTGAGTATTCATTCTGCATCGCTTCTGTATAAGCGTTGATAGCTGCTTTTGAACCCCCATAAACTGAAAAATATGCTCCATTCATAGAGGCAACAAGCGAAGATATGTTAGTTATAATCCCACCCCCCTTTTTGACCATATTTGGCAAAACGATTTCTGTCATTTTCATGGCAGCCAAGACATTGACATTCACAACATTAGTAGAATATTTTCTGTACTCTGGAACGTCCATGAAAGACATAGGTTTTCCGAACGCCATGCCGACATTGTTAACCAACAATGCAATATCGAGATCCCTCAATTCTTCATTTATGACATCATAAATATCTTCACCATTTGAAAAATCAACTGCTATAACAATAACACGAACGTTAAAACTTTGTCGCAATTCGTCAGCAAATTTATCAAGTTTCGACTTCGTACGAGCCAAGATCACCAAATTCATTCCAGCTTTAGCAAGTTCATATGACGTCGCTTTTCCAATTCCGTCACTAGCACCAGTAACGACCGCCCATGTCCCGAACTTCTTAAAATCAAAGGTTTTACTCCACAATGACTCGTTGATTATGCGAGCAACAGTTTCCACAAATCTGGAGAAAAAGCGGAGAATAGTTAAAACTCCAACTACTGTAACAAAGTTTTCAACCAATGCCATGTCAGAATATTTATCCTAGACTAATACATATTCCTAAAAAATGAAAACGTTTTTAAGTGATGGAGGATTCGACTGAGCAATTTTGATAAAAGGAGGGTATTAGGGTAAAATAAAAAGCAGGGAGGGCAACCGCCCATTGAAAATGTTACCGTAATAATTTAATTTTTAAAAGCATTAAACAGCAGTTGTAGGTGTTGTAGACTTGTAGTGTATAGTATAGCACAAAAAAAAGTCAAAATTCTATACTATTTATCATCACAACAGACTATAGCAAAAAATGAAAGCAATATCACACTTTTTAGCATAAAAGTATATATTATAGAAAATTGCACAAAAGTGCCAAAGCAGACGCATGACATTGATTTCAAATAATCTACGATTGCAAATACATTTTGAAATGATATTTTTGAATATAAACTATAGAATAGAGCAGGGTAAGAACATTCAAATCTACAGTAGTTAGAAACTTTATTTTTCTTTCTTTGGAAATTTAATGATAACAACGGGGTCTAGCGAAGTGAACGCCATAACTGCTTGAATAACGCCAAACGAAAATGTGATGTGAAATACAGCTAATTTCCATTTTTTTCAAAATATAAGTCTGTATCTTGTGGAACACTATACCCTATTTGACATGGGCCATACCTGCTTAGTTGCAAATTAAGTAGGTTTGGTTAACTAAAGGCATCTCTCAATAAATCTCATTCAGTGCCTGATAGAATTTATTTTTAAAAACGCAAAAACAACTTATTTGTTTGGCATTATTACTTATCGATCCTTAGATCGGTAAGTATGTTGATTGGTATTTGTCTGCGTGTATGTCTGTTAGATGCACGCGATATCTTACGAAAGCGAGATTGAATCTGCTCCAGATTTTGCATGTGCATTCATCATATCTCGGACCAAAAGCATATTAATTTTTGGGCGAATCATGTCGTATAATAAGCGAGTTATTAAACAATTAGTGATGGGACACAAGGTGTTATTATGGAGTAAGAGCGCTGTTTTGGGGCATCCCCCAACTTTCGATCGATAAGTCTTCGGTCTCTGACCGATATTCTCGTTTGAGCAGTTACAGGATTTACTTCGCTGGAAGTTTATGTTAGGTCAAGATTGGTCTGACAATATTCCTCAGTTTGAATGATTCGTACTAGTGGCATAATTTAAAATCTAGATTCATACAAAAATTGACCAGGATAGATTTTATGAAAGGAACAGGATGATTTACGTCTGTATTACCCCAGAGCACATAGATGTGAAACCCAATTAAAAGATATCTCCAGTTCTCCAGTTTTTTTTTTCACACAGACCCAGGGTATATTTATCACAATGTGAAACTCGGTTAGCGAATATCCCGTTATTTTTTCTATATTTACAGGCGCAAGACTTATTCAGCGATATTCATTCAGTCTTCAAAAATTTCTGGTATTTCTAATTTCCAGTCAATTTCAACTCCTGCTAATAGTTGAAATCATTGAGGCATAGATGAAAATATAATTTAGCAGGATTAGAACAAATCTTTTTTTACAAATTTTCCTTGCAGGAATACACGAGGCACACAAAGTCCTTCCTTTTTATTCACAGTTTCCCGTAAAACGTATTCATTCGTTTCAACTTCAAAACCAGAATCTGCAGCCAATTTGGAGATTAATTCGATTGTAAAATAATACGCTCTCGTACCATCCTGACGGACATAAAAGTTTTCTGAGATTTTATTCCCTGAGCCAAACCGAAGCATTGCATAGTCGTTAACAGCATAGTCACGAAAAATTATGCATCCATTTGCTTTTAGTATTTTGTACAAATTGTTAAAAACTTGCAAAAATTTTTTTGGGTGAATTGCGGATAAAACAAAAATTAACGACACCATGTCAACAGAATTTTCTTCAATGTGTTCAGCAAAGCAATTTTCAACTGTTACATCACAGTGAAAAGCGTTACAGTTTTCAGTATCATACTGGGGGTTGGATTTCACAAAATCAACAGCCCTAGGAGAAAAATCGCATGCATGGATGAACAAATTTGAATTTTCTTCTAGAAGCGGAAAAATAAAATTGCCAACACCACAACCAGCTTCTAAAATCTTAATTTTTTTCTCTGGTGATGAAATAGCTCTCAACTGTTCAAATTCCCTTGAAGTCCAATGTCGATCTTTGAAAAAATTTGTTCTATTCCTTTTGTAAAATAAATCCCACATTTTTTGCGCGTGTTTTTCCAGTTCATTTTGACGAAATTCTGACACCAGCTTTTTATCCTGTAACTTCAGCTTTTCTGTCTCTTCTGGAGTAAGTTCCCTGATGGCTGTGCTTGATATTTGAAACTTGGCGTCCATTTTGCAGCTATTCCGGATTGAAAAAATTCAAATCAGAATAGGGTATAAATTGCACTGACTGAGAAAACAGAAAAGGCCTTCGACGAGCCGCCAAACTACGCGAGTAGTAAATGCTGGTCTTCAGCCGAGTAAAAACCCAAATATACTCTGCGCTACCACCTTGTGATCCTGGCTATCGTTCCCGAACTCCGACCTGCTCTGATTACGGTAATTTGACAAACATTAACCAGAGACAATGCATAACAACAAGACGTCAAGCTGCCTTTGTTTATTTATTATAATTCAACGTGAATCTGTTGGCCACGATCTGACATCTAGTGGTAGTTTACTACTTACCGTCGTCTGCACAACTTTTTCGCAGCGGAACGCGGGTAGACTGGCGTTTTCAGTAAGAAAACCTTGATGAATCTTTGCAATAATGGAGAACAAGTATGCGGGAAGTGGTAGAGAAAGGCGTTAATGGTAAGATATACCGGAATATCATCACACGAAAAGCATCTGTTCAAAATATCATCAAGGAAAGCCTCAAATGGTGAGGCACTGTACCGGTATCAAGGGACCTAGCCTATGCCAGAAACAGCCGTGGACCAAATTAGCAATAGCGATCAATTCGTTTGCCGTAAGTAGTTTTGCGTCTAAATTAATTTAGTTACAGATGTTTTTGTATCATATAGTTTGCTCATTCGGTATTCATATTCAGCTGCACCAGGACATTAAATTACTCCATACGGTATGTTAACGCAGCTGGTTCACAAATAAGTAATATAGTTGTTTTGCAGATATTCATCATTCAGGTTTAGTGAACCAGAGTAACTGTTCAATACGCTGCGGTACAGTTGGTCTGCATGTTCAGTTTTTCAAAAAAAAATGGGGAAACTGACCATCAGATATATTCAGAACAGGTGTAAAGTTTTAAGAGTTGTATTTGTATCCCTTTGCTCTTAGAAATTGGTGAGATTGGAGGACAGCCTGCTTGGTTACCAAAAATAGCAAAATATAATGACATGATCAAACATTTTAAGATATATGTACAATAATTGACTGTCGATGCATGTGTATTGTACTGGTAAAATGTTTTATAATATATTCCAATGAAAAAATAGTTTTCGGTAATAAACCGAAAAAGGTTGTTTTTCATAAGTGCAAAATTGATGCAAGCAGTTATTGACTTTTCCCCAATTTTTGTTTACAGAGACTGCTGTCGATATTTGATCTTCAATATGCCAAAAAAGAATGCACTCTATGCTGTCTTTGTGATTGAGGTATTGCTCGATGCCTTTTTTGTGCATGCCTCAACATTTATACTGCTATACACTACCAGGCCATCGGTTCCCAACCAAGGGCCTGTGGCACATAAAGTAGTTGGAGGGGGCCACCAGTAGGTTATTTCAGTGTGTCTTCCCTTTGTTGAGCATGTAGTGTTTGAACATAATAGGATTAGGAATCTACCAATGAAAATAACACTATAAATACCACTGAAATAATAAACAATGCCATGGGAAGGGAATTATATTTTATTACTGGCATCGCACAAGTTGATAGGCTTTACTTTTTTTTTTTTTTAAATTCCAATACACAGCTCAGACACAGCTAAAATACAAGATTTGAAATTTTCCTTCAAAATATCACAATTCACCTAATTTTATACTGGAAAACATTTGGTGCTTCTAACCAACTTCTATTGTAGATACAGTATCTGAAAGTGAGCTCAATTTAGTCTTGAACCAATTTCTTGTTTTTGTTTAGCAGGTGTTCTCATTGTCTATTAAGCTTCCACCAAGTAATGAGATGTCTACGGTTTAGGGAATAGCCATTTTCATGTCAATGTTGTGCAGTCGATAGTGTCCTGTTTTGGCGTGGAATAAACACCTGCATCGAGATAATATTTTTATGTGAAGAACACTCTCAAAGCAGAGGAATTTGCAAAATGTGAGCCGTCTATGTTTTCTTGTAACAGATTGTCTTCACTTTTTACGACATTAAAATATAATGGACCACTCCCTTGTCAATTGTGAACTATGACAATCAAATGTAAATTCATTATAATTCTGCCACTTGTTCATCCTGCAGCATCAAATTTGACCAGGATCTCTTCCAGTCCCTAAATTAATGTGTAAAATATTTACTCATTAAAAGTAATGACAAAAAATCTTTGAAAGTTAGAAAATACTGTACAATTTCTGTACAATATTTCTAATGGAACAGTCGTCAATAATATCATAAAACTTGCTATATAGCCTATTATATAGTAGATTCTTGAGACGTATTCATTTGTTTTGTTATATCATCTGCCAGCAATTCAATGATTATAATAATTAATACTCGTAAATTTCCTGCCTTCATTTTGGTAATAGAAGCACAAATGTTTAAGGTAAAATAAAAACAATGCTAACACAGAAACATGTGGTTTATATAGAATACAAGTATTGCAAATTGTCTTACATTGTGCTTTTGCTGAAGTCAGATAATGGGTCATTATTCATGTAATGGCAGACCATGTATTGTATCAAACATTTGTCCATGAATTTATCCGGCCATGATCCCAACAACTGATATCTATTTGAAAACAATTATAAAGTATGTTTTACGTGATTATCATTGGTATGGACATTTCAACCTTTAGAATAACACATAAACATGCATGACATGAAAAATAAACAATTTGAGTAATACATGTCGAAATTTAGGTACAGTTTGCAAAGGTTACTGAACAATCAGCCAACAAAAGTAGCGGTAAACTATATTATACATGATCTGAAATATGATTTTCTTTCCCAGGCCTTCCAATGGATTTACCAACATTGATACTCACATCAACTATGCACATATGTCTAAATGCGGAAGTGTTCGCTTCAACCTTCGATGTGTTTTTAATAATCCCATAATACAGTATTATGGCAAAAGTTCGCATGTTCCAGTTTCGATATTTTGACAACAAGATTTGTAGAAGAGCATGGACTAATAGATCAAAGCGACTGATTTTAGTATAGACTGGGAGATCGTGATAAGATCGAAGTCACCCGCTATCAAAATGAACACAATTACTTAATTTTCAGGCGCATTAGGACCGTGTTTATTTAAATATGATTATCAGTATGTAAAAAGTATATACCGGTATGTATGCTCAATTTTCAGTTTTTATTGAAAGTTGCTAATTACTATTCTGACAAACTGTCAGATGAACTCTTATGCACAAGTTTGAACTGGAATATTCAATTTCTATAAAGTTTTGTTGTAATGGGGTATTTCAAATAGTCTTAACATCCCTTTTATAAGTATTTTTTGTTAGATTCTAACAAATATGATGATATTTTTGATATTGTTAAAATATTTAAATCATAAAAATAAATTGTTGTAAAGAACGGGCTATAATATAATTTTCGCAATGCCAAAAGATTTCAAAATAATAACTTCAAAAATTTATTTACATAGGCTACCTAAGCTATGTTATATGGAGTATATAGAAGTTTTTTTTATTCATATCATCTCCAAGGTTTCCAAATTTGAGAAGAATATGTTATACAATATCGTTATTTTGTTATTAAAATATGATTATAATATTGTCATAAATCATCAAAAACCTCACAGAGAAATGACTTCATATTAGATTTCTTACAGGATACGTTACGTCACGTTTTTAGGTATTTTGCTTAGTAGATATCATGTTAATTAGATTGGACTACTGCCAGGTACAGTATGAATCATTAAAAATACAGTAGTTTCTGTCGTATAGGTGCCATTAAAATCTTTTGAAACCGTGAGGCTACATGGCTACTCTGTAGTAAAATACAGGTTCGATACTGGGTAACGTATCGGGTGGCAGCCATTTTAAATCAACAAGTAGTAAGTTAATACCTCTTTTGTCAATCAGATAAATTTGTCAAACCCTCTTCGAATTCATCAGAATAAATATGAAAACTCCATTCCGTACTTCTGACAACGAAAAAGCGCGGTAACAACGCTAGCGCTCTCCGTGGAAAGTCCAAAGTAGTAAACTACCACTAGATGGTGTAAGTGACGACGTGAAAGTATGGTGCTTGTCATCTTGTTGTCATGTAATATCTATGCATTAACAAATTTGATATATGCGAGAGGGAGAGAGAGGATAGGATTTACATATTTATCCCGTGGGAGAGGAAAGCCGATAAGACGGCTTATCCATATGGCGAACCACGGCCTCTCGTCCGGTTACCATTCCAAGTCGGGTATGGGATTAGTTATATTGTTTGTTTTCGGAAGCATGGACTTGGAAAGCATTGCCTTGTGTTCTTGTCTATGAACAGGCACAGTTTTCAGCACCAGCGCCAACATCGCGCAGTTTGGTAATAGCAACTTTGTTAGCGTCGGTACCGAATAGAATAATGCATACCATTGGTGGAACGAGCTCGCCATCGCACTTCTCAATCATTTTGAATATGTTCACAGGTTCGAATTCCACAGTGATAATTATGTGCGAGGAAATTGCTGGGCTCCTCACCGCCGTCAGCTGGTTCACGCAAATGCTGGTCGGTTACAGTTTCCTCCACCATCAAGTTCATACATCTGAAACCAATAACTGACAAAGTACCCGAATTGGACTGGTAACCGGACGGGGGCCGTGGTTCGCCATATGGTTAAGCCGTCTTATCGGCTTTCCTTTCCCCTGGGATAAATATATAAAAGCTATTTTATCACATTCATATTTGACGTAAATCGAATGGAGCGAAATGATAACTCTACTTATTCAATTACCGCTCTTATATTACGGTAAATTCATCGCGTAGATTGACTTTCACTTTTCAAGTACAAAGACAGTCTGATGTCCTTTGAAAATTGAAGGTTTTCCTTGTTGTTAGAGCGTTGTACTCAGCTGGGTTAGCAAAGCAGATTGAAATTCTTCCTCCAAATCCCATGCGCACTATCTCACTCGACCTGTTTTAAATAAATTGGACAGGCAGTGCCGTGCCATTGGAGATCCCGTCCCGTCCATAACAAAGTAGCTCGGATAGGATTAGTAGCTCGGATCGGGGGAGAGGAAGCTAATCATACGGCTTAATCCTATGGCGAACCACGGCCTCTCGTCCGGTTACCAGTCCATTTTAGTTACTTTGTTAGTTATTTGTTTCAGGTGTATGGGCTTGATGATGGAGGAAGCCGTATCCGACTAGCGGTTACGTGAACCACGCTACGGCGACGAGGCCAATCCCTCGCACATAACAAACTCCTGATAGTATTCGAACCCGCGTGTGGTGGCGAGCGTATTCCTAACGATTAGCACGATGCACCACACCGCCGAGCCGCGACTTACATAGCAGCGGAAGCAAGTACAGAATGGGCCCCTATTTCGCAGTGAAGGACGTATAAAAAGCGTAGTAAAAAAAGGCGGTGGCGATTAATGCTAATTAGAATGTGGCACAGAGGCAGCATTAATTTATAAGACAGAACTTTATCGTTTTAGTTTTAAGTGTACGTAGTATATAGCCTATGTTAGGCAGTAGAGTGCAGTATAATAATACCGCGTCGGAATTTACTAACATTCAATTTGCTTTGGGTAAAAGAAGTTAAAAACAAATATATTGATACTTGTGGGATTTGCGAAATTGTGGAAAGGTCGTAGATCTAAGACAATAATTAGTTTTGAATAGTATTGATAACAAGAGAGCTATGCTCAAATTTATGGACACGTAGCGCCACCCAATGGCAATAATTTTGATGACGTCATAGCGAAAAATTAAAAATAGCCTTCTGGAGAAAAATTTTATCTTTAACCACTGAAAATTTCAATGCAATTGGTCCAGTATTCGAAGAGAAAAGCGATTTTTTAAAAATGATGGAGACAAATAACAATAACAACATAATATTGAAACGATCGTTATGTCCACTAAACGTGTCCAATAAATCCGATTCCGTAGCCAAACAAACTTGCACTTTATTTGTGCTGGGAATACCCCCTCCCTCCAAAAACAATAAAATTCCTCCACAGAGAAAATATCTTCTCGATTGGGAAACGTTGGCCAAGTAGTTAGTATTATTTCGAATATCCAAAATATGCGACCCATTCCCATTTTTTAATAGCAAACACGTTTTGGTGCTCTCGTAGTATGTGTACCAAGATGGCGGACACCTTAGTATGTGTACCAGGTTAGGGTTCGGCCATAATTTCAGGTACAAATACTACGGGAATAACTTGGCTAGTCTCTGTACTCGTAATAGAACTAATTTATAGTCCTTGACTATGACTATAATGAACATTGGAATAAAATTATGGCCGAACCTTAACCTGGTATACATACTATGTTCCGGTGTCTGCCATCTTGGTTCACATACTACGGGAGCGCCCACATTTTATTGGACTTTTAATTTCTTTGTTCTACAGAGCATTAATATATAAAAGATCGATACGCTTACGCACAACATGTCCAATTCAAACAGTTCTACAACGGATTTTGAAGGTTAAGTTTTACTATCTTATTTTGCGCTCACGAAGTACGTGCATCAAAATGACGCACAACCTGATAACCCAGACTGATACACATACTATGTTCAGGTTGTGCGCCATCTTGGTGCACCTACGTCGGAAGCATCTCTTATTATGGGACGGTCTTTATTAGACACTTGTTTATTGGACGTGTCGTTTTCTAATTTGTTGTCTCTGTTATTCTTGTCCTTGAAAAATTGAAATCAATTTATTAAAGACTCGTTGTGAATCGAGTCATCTGAATGAAGCGATTTTATCAATCAAAAGAACATTACCACCGAAATGATATACAGGGAGTCCTCGACTTACGACGTTGTTCCGTTCTTGAGAAGCGGTGTAACCCGAATTTTAGTATAAGTCGGAACATTATACTGTACAGTAGGCATACATAAATTACTCTATACATACCGTACTGTATTGTAAAGTATGGTACAGTAATAAAATGTACAAATAATGCAAAAAGTACGATGTAAATGAGGAAAACCAATGAGCCCAAAGCACTGATTTTCTTGATCACAATTATCAAGTTTAAAGGCTTAGATATTACAGTACAGAATTCTATTTTATATTTTTTTGGAAGTGCGTTCGTAACCTCGAAACAGCGTAAGTCGCGACCGTCGTAACCAGAGGACTCCCTGTATAGGGGTCTATGAGTGCCAAAGCCTCCAGAAGAAGACCACGAGCCATAAAGGACTGGGAATCCCTGATCCGAGCGACAATGAGTCTTCACTCCGTGATTGACGCGACTTTTGAATTAGATCAGCGATTCCCAACCTTTTAAACCTGAAGGACCTGTAAAGTTGAATAAAATGTACTCGTGGATCGGCAAAAAATTGAATGGATAATGATATAATAACATATATTTTCGTAATAAATGCAATGGAGGGCACTCACTATGCTTCTAGGTAAAAGGGCACACAGAAAACATTTTACATGAGAAAAACTGTGAAATAACGTGCCGTTGAAATGAGTGGAAAATAAAATAATACCCAAAAATCAGTCAAATTTGGTATTCTCTAATATTTTCTATCACTACTCAAATTGGTAACGATACCCTATGAAAATTTTGTAAGTGAATTTGAGGAAGTATTCGCGTGCTGGAGCTTACATACTTATATAACTAGTCTGTCATATCTTTTAAGGGTACTCCCGTAAAATATGTACTAAGCAGATTAGTGTCATGCCATAATTTTATTCCGATTTTACTCCCTTTAGTTCTGTTACGAGTTCCGGGATTTCTGTGTTAGCCAAGTTAATATTTCCTTTGCTAATAAGTTAAGTCTCTTTACACAACTTGATGTAAAATAAGCAAACAAAATTAGTTACCTCCATATTGGTACACACACTTCTGGAGCGCCCTTTCAAGCGCTAAAAATTATCACTGCAACTGAACAAAACTCGGAATATTGATTTATTAAATTCCAAGAACGCAGCTTATCTAATAGCTTGCAAATTCAATAAAACCAGACAATGTTCATAACCATGCTTGGAAATATTAATAAAAAGGTATCTCCACGGGTGATACAATTTCAAAACATTACGTCATCTTTGGTTAGTGTTAAGGAGCCTCACCCGAACATTGTACAACTCGCGCCCGAGTGGGTAATCTAACACCTCATTCAAGTTCTCGCTGATTAGCAAATGTTAATCACAAAATCATTTCTGCTATAATTCATTGGTTTTAATTATATTTTAGAGTCGCAGAGGTTTGATCGAAAGAAGAAGTTTGTAATTGCCGGTCTGATTCTGCTACTCGTACTCATTATCATCGTCGTTCCGGTCACGCTAAGATTCAGTAAGTTTCAATTGGTTATATAGGGTGCCCATGAAGTATTGGAAAATTTGTTAAAATTGAAAAAAGAATTTATCGATACCATATATTGTTTTGGCCCCAACAGATGTATTGAAAGAAGTAAAAATACTTGAACAATTACTGATTGAAAAACAACAAACCTGGTTAAAATATATTGAGAACTGATTCCATAACAGAACTGAAATTGTAAATAGACTTTATAGACACCCGGTATATAAATTTATATAATTCAATATTTTGATCTCGAGATAGTGAGGGTTTAATTATAAACACTGATTTGCGCTGTTCTGCACTGCCCGATAGCCTAGTGTTAGATACCGTGTTTCCCCAAAAATAAAAGATACCCTGAAAATAAGAACTACTCTGAATTTTAAAAACTATTTTAATATAAGACCACCCCTTTTTTGACCTAGTCGATAGCAATAAATCTCTCATACACGCTACAAATGATTAATAATCTATGCTTAGCAGTTATTTTAAATAAAAGCGTGTTATTTACAGGTAAATTGGTAACGGTTTTTATACTTCTCTACTATGTAAAGCTGTTCAAAATAACGAAAAATAAAAGCTATCCACCCAAAATGGGCCCTAGTGGTATTTTTCGAATAAAGAAAATTGAAATAAGACACTGTCTAATTTTCGGGGAAAACACGGTAACACGTGTGTTAATACAGACATGGGCCAAATCCGGCCCGTTGGGTAATTCAATCTGGCCCGCTTAAATCTGCCTCAACCAAACTAAAACCAAATTTGAAGTTTTCACTAAAAATAGGAATTTGTAGAGATTGCGGTTAAATTCAGTTTTTGCACGAGGCTTATTGTTTTTCACCTTTGCTTTGTAACACTGTGAATATTGTTCATAAAATCTTTTTACGTCACACATACATGGCCCGCCAGATTTGCAGGCGAAATTTTTGGCCCCTGGTTTAAAAACGTTGCCCACTCCTGTGTTAGTGTCACAGGTTAAAATTCCCGTGTTAAATCTAACGCCCACTCAGTGACGTATCTGCGTAAAATGGCGCCCATTGCAAAGTTTTAAAATTGAAAATGCCCGGCCCCAGACACGAGTCCAACTCTCCAACACTGATTAAAATTTATTTACCTTAAAGGCCATGCCGATCTGATTAAAGACTTCCCATCTGATTGTACAAACTTGACCCTTTCCAACGCAAAAGCTTCGAATGCAACCGGAGGAGTGTTTGATATTTATCCCGAATCGAAGGAAAATCCGATTAAAGTTTGTTGCGATCTTCATACTGATGGAGGCGGATGGATTGTAAGTTTATAGTTACCATTTACACCAGTTGGGAGGGGGTAGACCAGACTCTGGCCAAGTACGGCCCGCGGGCCAAATCCGACCCGTTGGGTGATTCAATCTGGCTCGCCTGATACTGCTGCAACCAAACGGAAACCAAATTTTGATGTTTTGGCTGAAAATATCTCAAGTAATTTGTTGATTTCGGTTAAATTTAGTTTGGGCATAAGGCCTATTTTTTCCACTGTTGCTTTCGTAACAATGTGAATATTGTTTATAAAATGTTTCTTTTTACGTAACACTTACATGACCCGCCAGTGAACGTGAGCAAAATTTTTGGCCGCCGGTCCAAAAACCATGCCCCCCCCCCCCCCCCTGGGGTAAAGTGGCGGCGATAATGTAATCTTAAGTTAGAAAAAGTATCGAAGTATTGTTTGTTTCAAAAATGTTATCTGATCATTTCCAATGAAATTAATATATAGGTAAATGAATATTTGTATAGTTGATATCGATGGTGTGCAACCTGCAGCCAACGGGCCAAATTTACTCTCAAGGAAAAATTGTACGGCGCACGGAGAAGTGCCGATTTTGAATGATGTGCGTCGGCGAAACAAGTTTTTTAATTTAATGCGTGCCAGTAATTTCAATCCTCCGCGAAGCTTATATCTGAATTCAATTTATTATTGGACACGTAGTGGACATAACGATCGTTTCAATATTATGTTGTTGTTCTTGTTCTTTGACACGTTTTTAAAAAATCGCTTTTCTCTTCGAATACTGGACCAATTGCATTGAAATTTTCAGTGGTTAAAGATAAAAATTTTCTCCAGAAGGCTATTACTTTTTTTTTCGCTATGACGTCATCAAAAATTATGTGACTCTACGTGTCCATATATTTGAGCATAGCTCTCTTGTTAATGTATATGACTTTACAATGCCTTAACAGTTAGCTAGCGCGAACAACGCATGTTACAAGATCAATAGCCCAAATTTGTGTGCCTGCAACTACTAGATAGCATAAATAAAGATGCGGCGGCCCGCGGTTTCACCCAGTTTTTTTTTCTCCTGTATATAAGGTTACACCCAGTGAGGAGCTGGAAAAATCGTAACAACCGGAACGCACCGCAAAAAATGTAATATATTCACAACACGTCGCGGACGTTTACAGAACTGCAATGAACTGTGAAGAAATTATATGAAATGTGTTTGTGTAAAATTACAAGAGTATTCATGACAATTCAATACAAATCTTATTAATAAAAAGGTATGGCCGTTTCCCCGAGAATCGACTTTCTTGTTTACTTCGTGACATTCGCCAATCAGCAAGATGCAAAAAGTGACGTAACAATGCTCCCTTTTCGCACCCGCTCAGACACTTTTCTCACTCGTACAGATTTTCAGGCGTGGTTGTAAACATTACCTCGTTTTTGCGTTTTTGAACTCTATTCGTTAGTTTTTAGTTGTGTTTTGAAAATTTAAATATAAATCAGATAATTCAATGATCACTCTGTCTTCTTAGGAGTTTTAATTTAATTGCAGTAATAAATAATTAGTGTAGTAAAAGCTGTGATAGACTAGGCTTAAATTCGTTACCGGTACTTTTAAATAAACAGTTTGTTGTATGCGATGAATTATAATGATGGTTTTGAACAAATACCACATTTTACAGGCGCTAACCCGCGAAACCACTCTTAAAATAAGCCCCGAAAATTTTGCAATGGTAAAGTACAGGAAAAAATTTCCGGGGGTCAAAGGTCGGGAAAAGGTCCATAGAATGCGTTCCGGCTACAGCTTATCACTTGTTTATGTAACTTAGGTAGTGACATACATATACTTTCTTAAATGAGGTTACGTGTTATTGATGAGTTCGATATTGAGTTTTGAGGTCGGGCCTATTGCTTTGAAATTTTTAGACAAAGATTTTATTTTTTGCTAGAATGCTATTACCTCTACTTATTTATTTCAGAAATTTCTGTGGACTCTGTGAGTCTCTTTTTTGGACACGTTTAGTGGCCATAACGATCGTCTCAATATTATGTTGTTGTTCTTGTTCTTGTTCTTTGACACGTTTTTAAAAAGTCGCTTTTCTCTTCGAATACTGGACCAATTGCTTTGAAATTTTCAGTGGTGAAAGATTAATTTTTTCGCTAGAAGGCTATTACTTTTATTTATTTCAAAATTTTGCGTGAATTCTATGAAATTTGATATTTCGTCTAAAATTTTGCCGTATTATTTTTTATCCATGGGAACACGGATTTTAGTCAGTGTCATGACTGGCTGTACGTTTTGATTCTGCAAAATTCTCGCTACTGGAAATTCAGAACTTTTTTGAGGGTACCGGTAGCGTCAAAGGTACCGGTAAGGACTGATTCGCTCTGGTCTAACGTGTCCATATATTTGTGCGTAGCTCTCTTGTTGTTGTGTGCCATGGCGTCATCAACAATGGTGCCGATTGTGGCGGTTCCGGTTTTGCATTAGCCGTGAAGACTGGGTACCCGGTGGTCTACTGTGACTGATTGCGCACCCATACTACGGCATTTTGTCCCCGTGTCCATATATTTGAGCATCGATCGCCACAAACCTATTAGAATTGCCAGAGTATTGATAAATTAGTTAGAATTATATCAACGAAGAATGCTTCTGCTTTTTGGCTCTGGTTGGTAATTCTCATTTCGATTATTAAATTTGAATTGCGTATCCTTGCGATAAGGAAGTTTTGATTTTTTTGTAGTTTTTCCCTTGCATGAAAAAGTTAATGTGTAACAGAATTTTGGGTGCTCCCGATTCCCGAAGTATGCGAACCAAGATGGCGGACATCGGAACGTAACATGGGTAACAGGTTAGGGCTAGGCGATAATTTTTTTCCAATTTTCCTCATTTTAGTCCTATTATCAGTTCGAAGACTAGCCAAGAGCCTCCCGTAGTATTTATACCTAAAATTATGGCCTAACCCTAACCTAGTACACATATTACATTCCGATGTCCGCCATCTTGGTTCGCATACTTCGGGAGCCCCGAATTTTGCAACAAAAGTGGGCCACGGAAAAAAAAGGTGTAGACCTAGTCTGAATCTTTCTTTTACAGCTTTTTGTAAAAAAATCTTTTTGTTTCATGAAATTAATTTTAAAGTTATTATCTGTATAGGTCTTCCAAAGAAGATACGACGGATCAACAAACTTTAATAGAAAATGGAAAGATTACGTGAATGGATTTGGAGAGCCTGACAAAGAAATGTGGTTAGGTAAATAATTTGCATAAATATTCCAACCACGTTGATGAAAAACTCATAGAAGCAGCAGAGTGGGCTCTACGGTATAGTGTAGTGGTTCCCTACCGGGGGTCCGTGAACCTTCTGGGGGTCAGGCCAAATGCCTTAACTTACTCAATGGCCAAAAAAGTATATTTAGTCTCTAAAGGCATTAACTCACTCAATGGCCACTGTCTGATGATATGGGAAATCATGACAGAAATTTGGTTAGTTAAATAATTCACACAAATTCCCAAACTAAAAAAATCTTTGGGCGCGTTAGCCTGGTGCAGGGATGTGCAACATGCGGCCCGCGGGATATAATCCGGCCCGCCAAGCCATTTAGTGGTGTCGTTGTAAAAACTTGGATTTTTCCCAATAAAACATAAAATCGTAATCCAGAAGTTTAAAAAGGCGCACACATAAGTATGAAAACATAATGGTTTTTTTAATGTAAGGTTGTACTGTAAGGTCACGTGACAGCCGCATTTTTGTGTGGATTGTTGATTTTGCGGTCTCTTGATACGCGAAATTTATTATATATCGTTGACGTATCAGAGTATTTTACATAACATCCGGGACCAACAAATATCGTTTAAAGGTTATGAGGTATTCTGGAACGACAGACAAGGAAGAGCACAGTGACCGAGAATTTTCAACCACAGACGACTATCATTCGTTTCCATATATTTGAGCATCGCTCTCTTGTTTTACAGGGCTTGAAACAATTCATCGATTGACTAAAAATGGTGTTCACGAACTCAGAATCGATTTGGAGGATTTTAGTGGAAATGTTAGGTATGCTAAATACAGGTAAGAATTAAAATCTTTCACATTTATCCGGAAAAAGAAAGCCGATAAGACGACCGAATCATATGGTGAACCACAACCCCTCGTCCGAATACAAGTCCATGTCGGGTTCGGGGATAGTTATTGAGATTTTACAAATGCGTTACCATCATTTTGAAGGAAGCAGTAACCGACCATAGGTTATCCTCCAACGTCAAAAGGTCTAGCTTTTATCTGGAAGGAGAAGAAAACAGTCGAGCCTCTCGTCCAGTTACCAGTCCATGTGGGGTATGACCTTAGATAGAGAGTAATTGCTTTTTTAGATACCATGACTTGATGCTGAAGTAAGTTCTAACCGACCCACGGTTATGTTAATCACTCTACGGCGGTTAAGAGTCCAGCAATCCTCTCACACATTATTGATTCCGAGTGAGATTCGAGCCTGGCGAACGTATTCATAACGCTTAGCACGCTCCGTCACACTGCCTACACACATATGTTTATCTTCCACCGGAATCAAACCTACATACCCGCGCAAGATAATCCGGGGAGTAATAGCTAGAGCAGGGGTGGGCAAGGTTTTTAAACCAGGGGCCACAAATTTTGCCCACTTAGTCTGGCGGGCCATGTAAGTCTGACGTAAAAGGCTAGATTTTATGAATAATATTTACAGTGTTACAAATCAAAGGTGTAAAATAATATGCTTTGTGCGAAAACTAAATTTAACCGCAATCTCAACAAATTCCTTGAGCTATTTTTAGCCAAAACATTAAAATTTGGTTTCAGTTTGGTTGTGGCAGTATAGAGCGGGCCAGATTAAATTACCCAACGGGCCGGATTTGGCCCGCGGGCCCTTGATGATTTTCATGTATTCCTAACGTTTGATGTTCCTAACGTTTTTCACAAAAAAGGCGTCTTTAATGACACTCTTTAAACAACAAAGTAGAGTTTGCCGTAAGCAAATATTTCAAGTTTTAGCACCCGAGCATACGAAAGTCTTCGTGAGAGAGACCCAATGGCTACGTGAGCTATTTGTTTACTCATCAAAATCCTGACTTGGCTAATTTTGTAACTGTCCAAACTGCAATTTTAAAATTTTTAAAATACAAAGCAGCAAATACATCCTCATTGAATAAAGTTATTCATTTCACTTCAATCGATGAGGAACAATGTTTTCTATTTCTATAAATTTAATTCAGCTTCCTAAATAATAGTCAACCTCTTCACATACTCCACAACAATAAAAGTTCAAAAACTCCTGCCCTAGCGTATCCTTCTATCTTTCAGTGTATTCCACATAGCATCCGAAACCGACACATATCGTTTGAAAGTTATTGGGTATTCGGGAACGGCAGGCGATGCACTGGAAATGCACAGTGACCGAGTATTTTCAACCGAAGAAGACAATATCCCTGGAGAAAATTGCGGAACTCCCTATTATGGGGGTTGGTGGTACGGTCCATGTTACAACTCCAATCTAAATGGGCTGTATTACAAAAACGGAAGATACGACAATAAAGGAATTATCTGGATTAAGTGGAAAATGCAAACACTCAAATCAACGGAAATAAAGTTCAGAAGGAGAATTTAACTCTGCACACAAAATTAAGACAATGTAGGGAATATTAGTAATTTAACAAAAAGTTTAACAGCAAAGGAAATATGATCATCCTGAAAATTCCAACTGTGCACGACCTGAAATCTAACCTGGTACACAAGTTAAGTTCAAGTTGTGCGACATCTTGGTGCACATACTTCGGGAGCTCCTTGAATTCTTCTGTATCGGTATAATACAACAATTGAAAGACTGGTGATTACTTATCGATTTTAATCGGTAAGTATGTTGATAGGTATTTGTCTGTCTGTATGTTTATTTGTCTCTTAAATGCACGCGATATCTCACGAAAGCAAGATGAATCTGCTCCAGATTTTGAATGTGCATTCATCATATCTCGGACCAGAAGCCTATTGATTTTGGGCGAATAATTAGCGAGTTAATAATTTATTACTAATGGGACACAAGGTGTCACTATGGAGTAAGAGCGCTGTTTTGGGGGATCCCCTAACTTTCGATCAATAAGTCTTCCGTCTCTGACCGATAATCTCGTTTTGTTATTAGTTCTGTTGACTGCTGGGTTGAGCTCTGGCTTATATGAATGAGAGGGAATTCGCGTTGAAGCTACAACGAGAATATCGGTCGGAGACCGAAGACTTATCGATCGAAACTGCGGTTTCGATTCATGACTCTATAGTGACACCGCGTGTCCCATCACTAATTAATCAATAACTCGTTAGTTATACGACATAATTCATCCAAAATCAATAGGATTCTGGTCCGAGATATGCCGAATGCACATGCAAAATTTGGAGCAGATTCAACCACGCCTTCGTGAGATATCGCGTGCATCTAACTGACAGACAGACAAATACCCATCAATATACTTACAGATCGATAAGTAATTAACCGAAAGCTAAGTTTAGAACAGCTTACGTTAACAAGCTTTCTAAATCAACTTTTTTTAGGGTCATCATTTTTTCTTTGCTGTTAAACATTTTGTTAAAATTACTAATAGCCTATTCCTACATATTATTATTATGAATATATTTTTTTGATGGAAGTTGGTATATTTTAGTGAGAAGACACGAAACAATGGAATTATAATATATATACTAGCAATGAAAATACATGTAGATTATTACGGCTTGTACTATTAGTCTGCTATTATGTCACGATAGGCAAACATGATACTCTTGACACACATAAAAACGTGTATCAGGCTAAACTTGCGACCAACTAACCCACAAAACAAAAAAACTTTCATTTCCAAAGAAATAAAAGATTCCTCATATGTATTTTCACGTGTTGATGTAATTAAAAAACCATTACTGACTTCTTATATTGGTTCGTTTCAAGTGTTGGAAAAGCATGCTAAATATTATAAGATATTAATGGTAATCCACAAACTGTAAGTATTGATAAAAATAAACCTGCGCATATTGAAACCGTTATTGAAATACCCACTGAGCAGGATATTATTTTCAAACAGGCCTGAACTACCAACACCAACACGTTCCGGTAGAACAACTCGCCAGAACCTAGAACATGATTGCGATTATTATTAACATTATGTAAATATATGTATTAGTTCTTGTATATATGTTACAGTGAATTTTTGTGATCCCAAAGTACCGGTAGCAGAATATTCCATACCGGTACCACCAAATTGTATGAAACAAACAATAACCCGCGTAGTTTACTGGAATGCCAAAGTACAAAACTATGTCTTATCATAGTGTGTCATTATTGCGTACAAGTGGTTTTCAACCTTTTTGTGGAGCGGACATCAAATGAAACACTCTAGAAGCTCGGGGTACATCTGTGCCAGTGATTTCCTTACACCCCCTAAAATTTCAAACACAATCACCAACCCTCCGAATTTTGAGGTACAGTTTCACACAGTAATTCCGACCTCAAGTATAATTGTATTTAAATATATAGTATATGCCAGATCGTTTGTCAAACAAATTTTTATGAGTTACAAACAGTTTTATATTTACCACCCCCTAAATTTCGGAATACCCTCCCCTCCCCTAAAATTAAAAGCTGGGGAACATACTGCTCTGTGCAATAGTTTAATTTACCTTTTTATTGTGTGGGCTAAATATTCCTTTCTCATAATTATAAAAAAAAGCATGACCTAATAAAACCAGAGAGCTCAAATATATGGTCACGAAGTCAAAAACAAAGTACTTTTCGTACCTGTACCTACCAGTGTAGATTAATCTCCTAGTTTTGCTTAGCGTCGCGTCAAATCGAAAATAACCGTCACGCTTGACATATTAAAAATCGTGATTCCGTGAAAAATGAAAATTGTAGAAAAATTGTGGATAAAAAAAAACAGATTTCATCAGATTCATAAAAAATTCAGAAATATATAAAAGTAATAGCCTTCTAGAGAATATTACAATTTTAACCACTGAAAATTTGGTACTTCCGTAGTATGTATACCAGGTTAGGTCAGGCTATAATTTTATTTCGATTTTCCTTATTTTAGTTCTATTAAGAGTTCAGGGACAGTCTGTGTTAGCCAAGTGAAAATACCCCCTGCCAATAGGTTTCAGTTACTTTACACAAATTGATGTAAAATAGACAAACAAAAATAGTTACCGTCATATTGGTACACATACTTCTGGAGTGCCGAAAATTCCAATGCAATTGGTCCATTAGTGAATGCGAAATACGATTTTTTCATAAAGTAACAAGAAAAAGAACAATAACAACAACAACATAATAGCAAAATGATCCATAGGTCCATTGCTATTTTCACAAAGAAATATTCAGTTTACACGGTAGAACGTCTTTTCTTTATCGAAGCTGATTATTTATAGCGGGATGTCCTGTTTTGTTGTCATGTTCTAAACTGCCTGAATACTGCCTAGAGCAAGGATCCAAACCTGGGGTTTGCGAACCCCTAGGGTTTCACTGGAAGATTTTTAGGGGTACTTGGATGGGAGTTAAATTTTCATGTATTGCTATTTTTTAATATCCTCTACCACCAGAACAAAATGCGTGGCAATTGAAACTTAGCGTAGATTTTTCCAGATCTTGCAATGTTGTGACGCAACAACGTGAAATTCACGGAGTTGCAGCCAAACTGTGAAATCTCAAAAGACAATGTGTTGTTTGCATGTCTAAAACCCATCCTCGAATTTAGAAACTTATTCGCAATGAACAGGGGAAGCCTTCACACTAATGTTCTGTATAACTGACATAAATACTTTTGTTAAATATCCTTTACAATAGAATTTAAAAATTGTTAGTCAATTTATTACAACTTTGTTTGGATGCCGCAAGCACAGCTCTAGGTTGGGAGTTATTTGTTACTGATGATACTTACAATTAGCATACTGACTCTCATGATGGCATTATATTTTATGAATTTCTTTGACAATGAAAAACTCCATGAGCCCAATGAAAAGAGAATTTGAAACAGAGTTTCAGGTTGCAATGAATTCAATACTGCACATTCAATAGAAGAGAAGGCTGCTTTATCAATTATGGCAAATGCTATCTGTAAAGTCGATGGTCATTACCAAGTTAGCATTCCAAAGAAAATTTCAAGATCCAGAACTGCCGAATAACAGAAAAATTTCAAACATGGTATGTGTACCTGGTTATGATTAGGCCATAGTTTCAGGTACAACTATTATGGGAGTCACTTGGCTAGTCCCCGAACTCGTAATAAAACTAAAATGAGGAAAATTGGAATAAAATTATTGCCTAACCCTAATCTGGTACACATACCACGTTTCAGTGTCCGCCATCTTGGTTCACATACTTCGGGAGTACCCACTAGACACCTTTGTATTTGGAGTTGATATTCAGCAGAAACCACATACTCGAGGAGAATTTCTCTCAATGCTGAGTCAAAATTTTAAATTTTTGGGTATGCTGGACCTATTACTGTTAGTGGTATAGGAAGAGTTCCAGAATTTGTGACGTCAGACATTTTAACCCTCATTTGCCCATAATCTACAGTTACTGGTCCTATATGTCCGGCTTTTCGGGAATATTTTGAGCATTCGCAAAGCAGGTCGGGGGTGCAATCATTTGTATTAATCTTTTATTCGATAAGACCTCGGTGTGGAAAATATGAAAGGATTAATGGGAACGAATAATCTGCGCGATTGTCTTGTTTAAATAGATTGCTTAAATGGTGTCTTATTTTAAACTAGGAGAGCGAGTTTGTTGAAACTTGACCAGAGAGAGAAAACATTCAGATTGTTTTGACTGTAATTAACTGAATATTCTGACGATTATGAAGAAAATGTTGAACAGGTTTGCAAGTGATTATGTTTTAGTATATTTATTGATAGTAGAAAACACATCACCACACTGACGCACAAACACACAAATAATAGAATATAGGCACAATAATACTACAAAAAACACAGATTTACATAGAAAATATTAAAAACGTACATCCCCGAAATTTATGTATATTTCAAACCAACATGTTGGCGGGACAATGACATCCAAATACTCCGGTTTGCAGGACACGATGTATATAATAAATTTTTGTTAAGCATCAATCACTGTATTTTTTGTCCCCCTGATTACTTCTTGTTATAGTTAACTGTCTAGGGGCTTTAGTCTGTCTTTAGATCTGTTCTCAAAAGCTTGTTAATGGTGCTATAGTCATTGGGTATAAATAATCTATTAAGCTTCCTACATTGTGATAATCTGTTCTGACAAAGCCTCATTTAAATGTAAGTGAATTGGTATATTCTTGCTTTGTATTGTGCCTGGTTGCCTGTACTCATTTCAATATTCATCTTTATTGTTTGTCAGGTCACTTTGTCTTACTGATATCTGGATTAAATCACTTTGGGAGAAATCTATCCTTTTCACTTTGGGATATTAGTTAAAGAGACATAGTAGGCAAGGGTGATTTGTCAATAGGCAGAAATCCAAACTAGATATGAACGCGAAATGGCCAGGAATAGCCGCACCAGGAATCTTGTCGGAGTCGATGTCGTCTCGAATCCATCCGTTCACTCTTAAAACTCCAATGCTTGTAGAAAAGAAAAAATTGCTTAGGAAAGTAAAAAAAATACAATTGATTGCATCCCCGAGAACCCCGAACCTGTGGATGACTGTGGATTCTTTTATGAGCAAATGAGGGATAAAATCTCCGACGTCA